TTGTCTTAATTCTTATTTTAATTCCTCTGATAATTCAGCTAATAATTATTCTTCTTATTAAAGATCTATTTCAGCTTCTTCTTTCCATCTGAAATTAAGATATTCTCTAATTCTAAAATCTATAGATAGAATGAATACCTATATTAGAGTCCATAAGGAATTTTACGTTTATGCATATATCTATTAATAACTCTTATTTTCTTAATTCTTTCAACCATATTTTAATTGATTTCTTTAATAATGATACCAATTGTATTAACACTGTAACTAAACCATAAACATGCTCCCATAATAAAAAAGATTGCTACTATTTTCTCATTTGAACATTTAGGTACATTATCTCCATATCCTATTGTTAACATTGTAACAATAGCAAAATAAAATGCTTCTAAGTATTGAATTTACCATGATTATTAATCTAATTATTTTGATTAAATCCAAGATTCATCACTCAAATTAGAATTAAAATACCAAATACATGAGAACATATGTAATATATACATTAGAGTTAGAATTAGTTTAAATAAACTAATAATTCCTTTTTATGATTTACTAAAGTATTGTGATTCTTCACTCTTTTGTATAACTTCATTAATATGTTTGAATTACATCAAAGATGTTAATAAAATAATTAGATAATAATTTGATATTTATTCTCCATTTTGAATACAAAAATAAAATAAAGGTGCTATTGTTAATATATCTATAAATAAAACACTAAATATTTATTAGCGTACTATTTAAAATCTATCCAAAACAGCATGTCCTTTTATATAACATATAGTATTTAATCTAATTAAGACATCAAAAAGTAATAAAGATGATAGTAAAGTAGTGAGTGGTAAAATCTATAAAAACAAAATACCTGGAGTATAAGCAATTTCAAGTGGTATTAATATCAATAATATCAATCTAATTATTGTTATAAAATAATCCCACATTAATTTATTAGAACTCTCAGGATGGAACTAAGGAATTTTTGATAATTTTTCATATGCATATTTCCTCAACATTTAATACTTCTCTTTTACATTTGAAAATATTGGATTCTCTGGATTCACTAATGTTTATTACCTAAAAAGTCTAGAGACATTTCTAATTTAAAATACTGGACTTGCAAATTTCATTTATGTAAGCATGACCTAACTATTATTGTATTATTTATTTACTTATCAGATCCCTAATCATCAATCAATTATAAATGACTTTCGTTTATATTTTGTAATTTTTGTTTATGTCTACGTATTTTCTAAACAAATCGCTTTACAAAAAAGAATGCCATTAAACTAACACCAGTACGTTAAGCTCGTTTCGTCCATTCTGGAAGTAAAGCCTAATTAGAATTTTAATCAACCTCATTTGTTCTACGAGTGTCCATTTATGACTTAATTACTAAATTTGGACTATTGTATGTTCCTCTGAAACCAGTATTCAAGTATTCTTAATCATAATCTAATTCATTAATGGCCTATAACTCTTGTATTGGAGTAAAATTGTTCTGTTGGTACAAGAGATTTGATTAATTCATTTTTGTATTAATAATTGTTATACATTTTACTCTATTGATTGTAAATTGATTCAGAATTCAGATAAAATGATTTTACAACAATAATAGATTAATATGATTTAATTAAGTAAATCATTCTCTTCTATTTCTTTTTCAAAGGAATATATTCATCAAAAATTCTAATTTAAAATCATCCAAATTATGAAATTAAATATGAATTTATTCATTAAAATTTGATTATTGAGTTTTCCTTTTTCTATTTATTATTATTATTTAATTAATGTAACAAGATAATTAGTATGAAAATACATATTACTAACCTAAAGGATTCATTATGCATACTAGATAATCAATTAAACCTTTTCTTTTACCATAAACAGAAGCCAGCACACATCGCTTTTCATAATTAGATTATTTTACAGAACCTACAGCTAGTATTGTAGATCCATAAGGACCATAAACTGATAGAACGTATGTCAGAAACAATAGATAACTTGTCAAACATATTAAACCTGTTAACATAGAACCTGAATCTAATATTTTAAATGAAGAGAAGAATAAACTACAAACTAAATTTAATTTATTAGATTCTTTTACTATAAGACATTCATAACATCATTTATAAGTGAAGAATGATATTAAATAAGAAATATTATAGAGAAAATTTAGTGAATAAAAATAAGGTTTCAAAGTATAACAATTAGATGAAGAATATGAGTCTCATGTAATTTTAAGAAGAAATCAATTCTTTTATACTTCTTTAAGAATTAAAGATAGATATTCTCCTTTAATTCTTCAAATCAGAATCAAATAAGGTGATCCAAATACAAGATTACGTATATTTGCATCTCCTAAATTTATCTAACCTAATAGATTTAATGCTGCTGTTGAAGTTAGTGGAAGATAATTAAAATTTTCATCTAATTCTGAAATCTTTTAAGAAGAAACCTTATATGTTGCAATATTGGCATTAAATGAATTATCTATTGGTATAAATATTGAATTTGGAAGACCTACAACTAAAAGAGTTATTTAAAGAGAAAGAAAAGAAAAATCTATTCATGAATTTCCTCCTGATTTAGAACTTTAAATAGAAGAAATTATGATGAAAAGAAGACTTCGTTATGCAAATTAATAAAATTATGTTGAATTAAATAAATGTTCTTAAATGTCCCGTAGAATTCCTGAAAAACCTTAAACACCAAAATATATAGAAGTAAAACAAAAAATTAGAAGAATGAAAGTTGAATAAAGTCTTAAAAGAGTAGCATAATTATAAGTTCATGATATTGCAAAATAAATACATAGAAAATAATTAGAAATGTAAAGAGAAATAAAACATCGTGAGTATGTTTAAAAGACTTGGTTTAAGATTATTTGTTTAATCAATATTTTAGCTCCTGGTATCAATGAATTTATAGAAAATCAAAGATAATTAGTTGCTAAAAATATGAAAAAACAAATTTCTTTAATCTAACTCTTAAATAAAATTAGAAAAAAAGTAGAAAAATTTGGTCCTAATTGTAAATTAAGAACTATCTTATAAGGAAAATGGTAATATTCATTCATTTCTTAATAGTTGTTTACAATTGATTGCTAATAATTCAAGAATGATAGCTAAAAGAAGAGCTTAAAAGATTATTACACAAATGTTGTAAAACAACATTACTTGCTTTATTACTGAAAGTAAAGGCACACATGTTGTCAATTTAAGTAATGCGAAAAAACATATCAAGTAAAGAAATGCGTGAATCGATTAGTGAAGCACAAAATAAGTAGAATTGAGTTTATGAGCAATCTCAAACTATATTTGAGTGTCCAGTATAAGCAACTATATCAAATTGCTCTTAGATACAGTAAATAAAGTGAATCAGCTAAAAACAAAAGAGATCCTATACATTTTCTTTTATATGATGCGTAAAATTAATAAATAATAATATAGTTCTTTTCTGCATCAAATGACAAAGAAATTATTAAGTCATGTATTTGAAAAATGGAATAAGAATTTTATCACTTTTAGAAATGCAACTAAAGAAGAAAGAGAAAAATAAGGTAAAAAAGGAGTAGCCCTATTTTGGCAACCCCCAAAACTTTTTGAATTACCATAAGATATAGTTGTTAGACTATTTTTATTTGAAGAACTTGAGAAAAGAGGACTAATAACTGGGGAATACAAAGAATGATAATTTATGATACTAATCATTATGAATCCAAGAATTAAATTGTATAATAATTAAAATATCTTTCTGATACTTTATATCTTAAAATATTAAAATTAATATCTTTTTTTAGTTATATAAATTTATATACATAATGATTTAGTTCTTGTTACTAAAAATGATCTATATTTGTAAATTTCAAATCCTTTTTGATTAAATAGAATATATATATAGACTTTCAGAATTAGGTTAATATTTTATATTAAATTTTTTAACTTTAAAACTTACATTTTAGAAAATATACTTATATCAAATACAATTTATATCCAAATCTAATTTAAATTTAATTGAGTACAAATATTATATAATTTTTTTCAAGATTTGACATCTATTTTATTATCTATTAGTGTTTTACTTTGCTAAATTCAAAATAATTGATGAATGAATTTTTTTTATCTTTTTAAATCTGTTTAAGTTGTACTACTTTTTGTCTTTGAGTATTAAATGTAAATTAAAATTAAGATTTCAATCAGAAGTTTAATAACATATTTATTATCATCCAAATATAACGACTTTACATTTACTTATAAATATAGACCTTTATCAAAATATTGACCTTCTCATACTTTGCTAATTTAAATATATACCTGTTATTATTCTATTAAGCAAGTATCTTTCTAATAGATGAATACTCAAAATTATTTTGTTTATCTTTTAAAATATTTATGATGTTATTAACTTAAAATATCTATTATTTACTTGCTATTATTTATGATGTATAAACAATATTTTTATTAAAATATTCAGCATAGATTACAATAAAATAAAAATAGTATATTCAAAAGACATATTGATTTTATTTCAATTTTAATTATCATTATTCCTCTTACTATTTATTTTATGATGTTTCTACTTGAAGATATAATTTATTATTTAGTTATTCTTGGATACTTTGATGTATTTATATCTATATACTTCAATAAAAATTGTAAAGAGTGACTCATGAATTGTTTTTTTTCAATCAGAAATACTAATTTCTCTGAAGACATTTTAGTTAAGAAATATTCTAAAAAATTTTAAACTCTTTTTGATTTAAAATATTATCCATATCTTAATTAAAAAAATAAAAATCTTTGTCAATTAATAACACTAATAAAATGTTCAATAATTGTTATTTTATTCATTTGAATATGTAGTTTAAAGAGTGATTTGAGTATTTAAATGTGAATAATTGATATTATATATAAATTAATAAAGTAAATAGAATTAGGTAACTGCTTTATTAAATTGATAAAAGTATTTATTATAGAGTTCATTTTGATTATTTAGAATCAATGAAAAGATTATATTAAAGTAAGCTTTTATAGAATATTTATAAGCAATACAATAACTTGACATATTTGGTCAAACAATCACACTAAATATCAATAAATAATCAAGCTACAAAACAGTTTTTGGTGGAATTTCCTCAATATTGATAATTGCCATTTTGATTGCTTTCTTTTTTTCTAATGTTATGAATTTCTTGAATCAAACTGAAATCATATTTTCACTAGAAACAAAATTCTCCATAAATCCAGATGATATGATTTTATCATAATAAAATTATATGGCAGCATTTTCAATTGATTAAGGAGGATATGCTATTAATCCATATTTTAATATTTCAATAGAATAAAGGTATTATATTATTTAGATTCAGATAATACATACGTGATGAAAATGGAAAGTAAATTAAACATGTATAGTATATCCCTTTGGAACCTTGCACATTATCACATTTCAATGTATTATTATAACAATCAGATTTAAATTTTTAAGAATAATACAATCACCTTGATTTATCAAATTGGTTATGCCTTAAGTAAGTAATTTTGAATAAAATAAGAAAGGATTTTGAATTCAAACTAAGTGGTACATATTCTAGTTAAGAATTTAATTTTATTAAAATAATTGTACATGATTGTGTATAGAAAAATGAGAATGAAACTGGATGGAATCCAATTTGTGCTTCAAATTAAGTAATATAATAGCATTTATAAATGAATGGATAATTTAAGTTTTAAATTTACTAAGTTAATTAAATTATAAATCCAGGTTAACCTTAAGCATATGTGAGTTCTTATTTGGATGGAGAAATGTACTTTACATTTGTTCCAAAAAAGATGTCTAGATAAGCTAACTTATTTTATAGAAAATATAAGTTTTATAATGATTAATCTCTCTTGCCTCTTGAGTATTAAATTTAATTTAGTATTGAGAAATATTCATTAAGAGGAAGTTATTGTTAGACAAAATAGTGATTATAGAGATTTAACTGAAATAGGAAGAGACACAGATAATAATTATGCAGTAATTTACTTAAGGAGAAGTTAATTTACTGAGATAGTTAATAGAAGATTTATTTAGATAGGAGAATTACTCTCTTATTTAGGTGGATTTCTATAAATAATGATTACTGGACTTGGTATCTTTATTATATACTATAATAAAATTTAGAGTATAAATTATTAAATAATTCTAGTGCAAATTGAATTATCAAATAGACTTTATAACTTTAAGATTAGTTCTAGTAACAATAATAAAAATTAATAAAAAGTAATAAAGTTAAGTTAGATATCTAATTAAAATGTGTAATAATAACCTGTGGATGATTCATAGAATATTAATTTAAATGATAGTTTTATTGACGAGAATTAAAAGAAGAATTATCTCAAAAGTGCAATCATTAAATAATTTCATTAGTTGAATAAGATTAGTTTATCATTAAAATTATTCTTTAATTAAATGACTTTTGGATTATTGTTCAATAACAATGATTCTCTATTTTTGAATAAAGCTATGTAATTATTATTTGTATTTTATTAATTTAGTAATTAAGTAAATCTTGATTTAAATATTCATCATATACTTTATAAGATTTAGGAGATATAGAAATTGAAACAGGTATTGTTGAGACGATCTCAAATAATGTTATTTAATTTTACCCCAAAACCTTTGATCACGTTAGATGTAGATTATCAATTACCAAATCGAATGGACTTTGAAGATAACCTTAGTGATTTGATAAGTTCTAATCCTTTAGACTAAACTGAAAATAATTTATTCTCCGATTTATATTAAGTACAATTTTATATCCATATTTATTGAAGGCTTATTTAGAAATAAAGAAGGAGCTAGAGGAATAATCAATACCTCTTTGTTAGTTTTAATTGAATTCATAATTAGCTTTAGAGTTAGGACCATAAATGTAAGAGATATTCAAAAATCAGGAATTGATAGAAAATTAAGAAAAAGTGGGATTTTCAGTTATTTTAAAGTCGGTAAATGAATGAGTTGAGTAAGAGTATTATTTGGTTATAACATATTATTATTTACTTATATGTGAATTAATAAATATAATGGATTCAAAGAATTAATGGAATTAAAAATCATCAGTATAAGAATTTGGAATACAAAAATCAAGTTTGGCAAAACCAATGCACCAATAAGTTAAGCCAGCATAATAGGTGCTTCCTAAGAATGAATAAGATCAGAATCAACTTGTACGTCGAGTGACTAAACGAAATATTGCAATAAAAAAGTCAATAGCTACAGATGAAGGAACAATCTATGAGACATTTGAACCTTTAATGAAGCCATAGACTCCTTAAGATATTGGATTTATAGTAAAATGTTTTTAATCACATTTTGTGTTTTCATCCATGAATGAAACTTAATTGTAAGATTGATAATTAATTGTAGAATACAATTAGCAAAGAGCATGTTCTATTGTAGATTAGTGATTGGATAAACTATAATAAAATAAGGAGATGGAGCTAGTTCATTTTTTGTATTGGAAAAGGGAAAGATAAATGTGTTGGTTGATGGAATCTCTAGAAAACAATTAAGTTAAGGTAATGGATTTGGTGAATTGGCATTACTATACAATGCACCAAGATCAGCAACATGTGTGGCTATGGAAGAGTGTTTTTTATGGGGAATAGATAGACATACCTTTAGAAAAAGTGTTGAAAACGTTATGAGGAGTGAATAAGAGAAAAATAGATAATTATTAGAATAAGTTAAGTTTTTCAGTAATATATTAAATTGAATAATTAGATTAATTAACAAAGGATTAAAAAGATGCAATTGCAGGAGTGTTGATTCTATAAAAGTTTAATTAAAATGAAGTTATTGTAAATGAAGGAGATCAAGCTAGTTCATTCTATATTATAGTTGAAGGCAAATGTGGAGTGTTTAATAAGGAAAATGTTTAGATTTCAACTTTAAATCCAAAAGATTCATTTGGTGAATCTGCATTAAAACATGATAATTAAATTAGAATGATGACTATTAAAGCAATTGAAAAGGATACCAAAGTTGTTGCTTTGGGAAAAGATATGATTACATAAATTTTAGGAGATAAAGTGTAATATATAATTTATAAGAATATATGTAAATGGGCATTAAATAGATCAAATTTATTTGGAAAAGTTCCTGGAAGCATTTAAGATAAGTTACTTGAAGGAGTTATTTATAGAAAATATGTACCAGGATAAAAGATAATAAATAAAGGAGATAAAGTTGGATATTTATATATAGCATTAGAAGGTAATGTTTTAGATGAACAAAAGAAGATTATTACTCATAATATTTTAAATGAAGAATCATTATATGATGAAGTAGCAAATACTAAACATTTATAATCATTTGTAATGGAAATGGAAGGACATGTTGCTGTAATTGATTATGATAAATTTCGTAATACATATGGAAGTGTTGAAAAACTATCAGAAAATGATTAAAATAATGTTTACTCAAAAGAATATTAATAATCAAATGATTTAGTCAAATAATTTTAATTGAAAGAGTTGATTTTCCTAAATAAGCTTGGATCTGGATAGTTTGGATCAGTGTATCTTTGTAAAAATAAAAATTTGGATACTTTATTTGCACTCAAATATGTTACAAGAGCTCATATACAATAATATGGAATATAAAAACATGTCTAATAGGAAAAAGCAGTCTTAGAAATGATGAATCATTAATTTATACTTAAGTTTTATCGTTCATTTAAGGATGGAGAAAATATTTACTTTCTTACTGAATATATACCAGGTGAAGAATTGTTTGATGCAATAAGAGAAATTGGATTATTAGGTAAATATGACTCACAATTTTATACTGCACAAATGATTCTTTAAATGGAATATTTACACACTGTCCATCAAATTGTATATAGAGATATTAAACCTGAAAATATTATGGTTGATCAATTTGGTTATCTTAAATTAATTGATATGGGAACTGCAAAAAGTTTAAAAAATGTTTGTAATTATTATTCATCAAATTAATAGCTCCTCCAAAAACATTTACAATAATTGGGACACCTCATTATATGGCTCCAGAAGTTATTTCTGGTAAGGGTTATGGATATTTTTCTGATTTATGGAGTGTTGGATGTTGTCTATATGAATTTTTATGTGGAGGTTTACCTTTTGGAGAAGATTAAGATGATCCTTTCGAAATATATAAAGAGATTGTTAAGAATCCCATACATTATCCATAATATATTACTGATAAAACAGCTTAAACAATTATTGAATAATTGATGAATAAGATACCTGAATGCAGATTGGGAGGATCTTATTCATCTCTTAAAAACAATTAATGGTTTTCAGACTTTGATTGGGTATTATGAAATTATTATATTTTTAGAATAAATTGCTTAAGCGTTAACTTTAACCTCCATTAATACCTAAAAAAGAAAAATTCATGAATGAATCATAAATTGAAGAATAATTGAAAAAGAATATTTTGGTTATTGATTAGATCTAAAAAGATACAATGGGTTCAAAAAAAGTATTTGCATAACCAAAAGACACAGAATGGGATTCAGTATTTTGATTATAAATTCTATTTAGACAACATATTATAATAATTATTTTATATAAATGATATTATACTAAAATATTTAATTGAGTAAATTATGAATCTAAAATTAAATCAAATAAATTATAAAAAGTAATTATTATTTAATTCAATAAAATGTTGTACTTATTTTTATAATAGAAGAGATAAATCAAATTATATAAATTTGATAAACAAAATTTGTATTAAGATAAAGAAAAGTATTATTTTATGATATTGATTAAAATAATAATTACTAATAAAATTAAAATTTTACCATAAAAAAATAAATAAAGAAAGTTTATCAGTCTTTAATATAAAATATTAACATATATTATTTTGTTATTTATTTATTTTTCGATATTAATTATATGAAATAATAACCAGAACCAGAGATTCCTACTCTATAATAATAGGATAAATATTTGGAGATAAAGAGAAAAGGACAGGGATTGGAAATAAATTTCAAATTGTTTAACGATTTTCTAAAATTAAGAGCAGCAGGCTTCTCAAAAGTTACTATTATGTTAGTTGTCTCGTTTTTTCATTAAGCTTTGAGTTATATTGCTTAGTAAGTCTCATCTATATATTATGGTATAAGCGCCTTGCAGATTTACACTATTCAACAGAGAGCACATTATTAAATCAAATTCTAAGTGCATGTCAATACGTAGACATTCTCAGTTTATTACGGATTGACACAAACTTCTCGTATTTCATCTTTACGATAGCTTTAATCTTTACTATTGGTCTAACTCTACTTTATTTGATGATATATATTTTAGGACCAGAGTATAAACCTAGAAAAAAGTTTATTGGGAAAGTATTTAATTTATTTATATGCAATAGTTATTTGTGTTCCTTTGTGATATTTATATTTGGTTAATGTTCTTTCCATGTATGATAACATGTTTTGAATTTTGTATATGTAATTAAGAATAAGAATGTAATTTTGATTTAGTTAGAATAATCTTAACATTGTTAGCAATTTTAGGATTAATATGTGGTTTGCTTAATATTACTGTATTAACTGCTTTGCTTCATAATAATTGGGAAAATAAAAAGGATTGTTTCAATGGTGAGAATGCAATGTATTTAACTAGTTACCAGTTTGGTCGCTTTGTATTAGCATTCTTTGTAGTTTTTAAGTATAATTATTTATGATATTTAAGCACTAATATTTATACTTTCTTATGGTTATTTATGATAGTTTCCTTTATAATATACACATTATTTTTAATAAACATTCTTATTGGAAATGGTTTCTTAGCTTTTGGAACTAAATATACTAGATAATTATTTATCATAATGTTAATATTTATGGTAAGCATAACATTTTCAACAATTATTGATGAATTACATAGAAGTTAGAATCTAGATAAAAGTATTGAAAATTTTAGTGTTTACTTTTTATTTACATTGATCTTTTTATTGTTGGCATTCGGATATAATATGAGACATACTCAAAGTCTAACTATTTAATTTGATATCAATTCTCTTACTCCTAATGAATTATAGAAATAAATATATACAACTCTTGCTTTCTTAGAAATATCACTTAGTGATATCACAATTGATACTTATTTTAAAGGAATTCTATAGAGACATATGGATTTTGAATGTCAACATCCTGAGATTAAAGGTGAAGCAAGATGTTTTTGTAAAAAGAAAAGAGTCTATGATTCTAAAAAGAGAAAAGAAGTAAGAGTTGAAGAATGGTTTATGATGAAAGCTATAATTATGAAATTTTTGATGAAAAGTTGGATTGAAACATATCTTGCTAATAGACCTAATGATATAGGCATTTAAATATTATATGCTAAGTAAGATATTTATATTAATTTAGATTTATGTTTAGTAAATTTCATAATCATTAAATTGCATTACATATTTTATCAGATTTAGAAAAGAGATTTACTTTTTTATTAGATAGATACAAATCTTATTAATTAAAATGGAAAATAATAAAATTCATAAAACATAAAAATAGTGATAGTTATAAAGGGAAATTAGAGATTGAAAATGCATTATTTGTAGAAGAATAAATTAATTCTATAAAAAATAATATAACAAATATTTTGAAATAAAATTGTATATTTTGGAATAATCTTTAATAAACTACAATAGATATGAGTGAGATGGATAATCTTTTATAAATGTAATTTAAAAAAATAGAAGAAACTAAACATTTATGGATAACAATTACTAATTATTTAGAATATAAAAAGAAATGGAAATTCTATTATGCATGGTTTACTCTTTATATATTAAATAAGAAAATTAAAAATAGAATTCTTGATAACTTTTAGGGATTTTAAGTAAATGAAAATGATATCTTCTCAGAAGAACTTTAAGAACATAATGTTGATGAAGATGTAAATAGTGTTAAATCAGGATATTTAGATAATGAAAAAATAGAAATAAAAAGCAAGAAAATAATTTTTGATAGAAAAGCATGTATTATATAAGCTAGTGATGACATTCAATCATAAATTATCAAAGTGAATAGATAATTTACTCGTATTTTTGGATATTCTAGTGATGAAGTAGTCAAAATGTAAATTATATATGTTTTTATTTTAGATTGCCAATTATTAATTTGATGCCTGATGTATATAGTAAAGTACATCCTTAAATATTGAATGATTATAAATAAACAGGTAAAAGTAATTCTCTCTATTCTTAAAGAAAGATTTATTGTCTTCATAAATCTGGTTTTATGTTTACTGCATGGAAATTTTTAAAATTATATGTTGATTTAAATGGTCAATCATAATTTGTTATTATGATTAGGCCTACTGATTTTGATAATGAAAAGAAACATGATTACATTATACTTAATAATGATTGGGAAATAAATGGAATGACAAATAATGTACTCTCAGGACTTAATATAGATTCTCGTCTATTCAAAAAAACTTCATCTGATTTAATACTATTCAATCTTCTTTTATTTGCACCTAAACTTATTTAATATTCTAGAATAGCTCCATTGATAAATGAAGAAAGAGATTTACCAATTTTTGGAATGATGAAAAATCCTAAGAAACCTATTTAAAAGATAATAAACCATTAAAATGTTCTTGAAAATTAATTATCTAATTCAAGTAAACCTAAAATCAATGTAAATATGCTTGGCTCTTCTTCATTAAAATAATCATTTGGAAAACCAATTCAAGGTATGTATTCAGATCTTGATTTTGGATCCAAAGTATTATTACCATAATAATCTATTGATTAATAAATACCTTAATAATTAGTAGTCTAAAATGAAAGAGATAAATTCTTATAACATTAAATGAGTTCTATTAGTGATAAAAATGAATTTGAAGATTTTAATAAATAGATAGGTTAATTTGATAAATTATAAAATCTTAATCAAGAAATGGATAGAAGAGCTGAAGAATAGATTAATCAATTAAAAGAATCTTAATTTTAAAATAATTATTAGAAAATATAAACTATGGGAAATAAAGAAAAAGATAATTTTAGTGAGGATAATGCAAGTAGAGATGAAATGATTTAAAAAATCAAAGGTATAAAAATATTAGAAGGTAAAATTAATAGTGGAGAATAAATATAATTTAGAATGAAAATTCCAGAAAATATGGATAAAATTATTGATTATTATTCATCTTAAAAATCTAAGATGTACTAATTAAAAAAATAATAAGATGATGTATCAATTATTTAAATTATTTTAGCATGTTAAATAAGAAGAAGTCATAGATCAAGGTAAAAAGAAAGAAAAAGATAAATTCTTTATTAAATAAGGTACACATTAAAGAGAATTTAGAAAAAAAGCTAGATTGATGTTCTAAAAAGCAGCAGAAATGAAGAGATGTTAAGATGATGTGTAAATAATTATAATTCTATAATATAGAAATTTCTATGATTTATTGGTTGAGATCTATTAGAAACTAATTTAAGAGTAAAAAAATCGTACATTTAAAATAAATTGTACAATTTAATTCATTAAAATTAAAGATGAAAGAGTTGGTATAATAAAAATTATATCAATAAATGAAATAATGAAAATTAAAAGAGTCTAAAGAGAAAGGGATGGAAATCGTAAATAATCATTCTTTCTTAAAAATATTTAACCTTCAAGAGAATTAAAAGGATCAAAATTATCAGCAACTAATATTTAAAATCAATTTGAAAATTCAAAATTTGTATCTATGGCAAGTGAAAGTGATACTAAATAATAAATTAGTCCTTTAGAAATTAAATCTAATTAAAAGAATCCTCTTATTAAAGATAAATCTTTTAAAGGAAATTTAGGTTATTAGATGAATGTTCCAGTATAAGAAATAGATGATGATAAAGATCTATTAATTGATAGTAAAGCTTTTAATAAGATGATTAATTGGGATACTTTTTAATAATAATTTAAAATGTAACAAGGTGCACTTAATTTTTCACTTAATGCTGGTGATAATATATTTAGGAAAGAAGATAATAATAAACCTCGTAAATTCTTGATTAAGATTGCATATTTAACTTGGTTTTTAAGAATAATGTTTGTTGCCATCATTACATTAAATCTATTAACTTACTTTCTTAAACCATTTTTAGAATTTAACCCAATGATTTCTTAAGCATAAAGAATCTTAGCATTATCATAAATGTAAACTACTATGATTGAAACTTATGATACACTATTAGATCTATTAATATATTAAGATGAATCTGATTTTAATGATATGGGTATGTCAGACAAATTAACCTATTATACTTATTAATTATCAAAAATTTAGGAGAGTTATGAATTTATTAAATTGTAAATAAAAGATATAGATTAACTACAAACATTTCTTGATCATGATATTTTTTATTCTAATGCAATATCAGATGAATCTATACTTGGTTAAGCTAATACTACTCTTATTTTAGACAGTAAAGACTTTTTTACTAAATTTGTTATGTTAGAACATCAAATATCTATGATGAATGCTACAACATTAGAAATCATAAGTCCTTCAGATCCATTTGTTATATTTATTAGATATGTTACTATACCATAATTATACAATTAACTAAATAATGCTGTTATTGAATTATAAAATATAGTATTAGAAAAATCCAATTCCATTTCTGATTTTGTTATAGTAATTCTTAGTGTTGAAGGTTCACTTTTAGCAAGTGGTTTTTTTGGATTGTTAGTTATAATTTTTTGGATTAGTCAAACATACAAGGCAGTTTTAAAGATTTTCATTCTTATATAAAAGAATGATTTAAATAAGATTGTCAAACAATAAAAATTTATTGAAAATTAATTTAAGTATATAATTGCAAAAGATTAAGAAATAAGTGGAATATAACCAAAAGGTATTTATTAAAGAGTTAATTCTATAACATCTAAACATAATTTTTAATTGCAATAAAACTTCCTATTAATTAATGAAGAAGAGGAATAAAATATGAATAAAAAAAGAGAGAAAAATATCATTGATAGATAATTGCTTAAATCTTTAACTCTTAAATTATATGCAACATACATCATATTAGTATTATTATAAGCAGGAACTTCTTTTGCTTTTTTTTTTTCACTTAAATAAGCAAGTAGCAATATTAGCAATCTAATTTCAATAGGTTAAGTTTCAATTTCTGATTTTTCTAATAATTAACTTCTATTAGTATCTGTTAAAGAACGATACTATAATGAGGAAAATTATATATCAAATTATCTACCAAAAGTAAAGATATTACTAGAAATTTAAATTGAAAGCATCAAATAAACCCCTTAAATTGATAATCCAGAATATGGAAATTATTATAGTGGATTTCAATCAATTTATTTTGATAATCTTTGCAATTATCTATTTAATTAAACTTGTAAATATATTATATATATATATAGAATTAACTTAAATTTAATAGAATGATTGTGAATCATTAGTAAATGGTAAATTAAAAGATGGAATTGTGGCATTTAATTAATATTTCCTCTCAAATGTATAGGATTATGTTTTATTAAATGCAGATAGATTTGGAAATATAAATAATAAAATTCTTTGGAATTTTAATTCTTGTATAGATTATGTCAAAACAGCTTTTAAATTTTTGCTTACTGAATGGGCTCAAGTATAATATCATTACAATATACAAGGATTTAAATTAGCTAATAGATTAAAATATCACATTAATTTTAGTGTTGCTTATTGTTATGCAATTATTTTAATTAATAGTATTTTTGGCAATAGCTGAAATGTATTTGGTAAACCAACTTAATAAAGCCTTTTCTTTTTATCGATTAGTTTATAAATCCTATATGCCAAATGATATCATTCAAAAAGAGAAAATCATAAGAGCCTAATTAATACGTTATAATATAATTAAGAAATGACTTTATATATAATTCTATTAATTATAATATATTTATATTTCTATTTCTCAAATATCAAGATAGTATTTAAATTAATAGATAATTATTTTAAATATCATAATTATAAATCAATTAAGGGTTTATTTATATGATTTTAATGGAATTATTAGATTTACATTCCTTCAAGTTTAAGTTGACGTCCTAAATGGCACATCACAACACGATTTTCTAATTAGGAATTTAATTATTCTGTTTCTAATTTATATAACTGATTTAATTCCTAAAAATTTAAATCCATATCAACTTCTCTTATATTTTTTTAAACATTTTCAAGTTCTTCATAAGTATACTATCCTTTTAATATGATTGTTATGCTATTTGAAAGAGGATATTAATTTAAAAAATCTATAAGTTAAGATTCAATCATAACCATATCTAAATGATTAAATTAAATTTATTTGTATATTACTTCTAAAGTTTTATAAGATTCAACTTTATAATCAATAATAGGAACATTTTATTTTTGTATTATGCTTGAACATTAAAAATTAAACTATAATTAATAAATCAAATAATACATATTATTTTTCAATATCTATTAATTTATATAATTCGAAAAATTATTATTTAGCAATCTAATCATTACATAATATTTATAATTGGTTAAGTATTGTTAAGAATTATGTTTTTAAATCTTTAAATTTTTTTACAATTCCTCCTATTAATCTTGATTCCTAATTTACAAACTATTTATTTATAATAATCTTTGATATTTTCATATTATCTTAATCTATAAGAGCTCCTTATAACCAAGGATGAGCAAACAAATTTTCATAGTCAATTCTAGTTGTTTTATCAGTATCCAACATTTTACTTAAAAAATCTTTTCCCATATCTGATAATTTGAATTTATTTTCATCAAATTTAAGCTAATTCTATGAGAATAAAAATACTTAAAAATTTTCTAATTCTTTTGCTAAATCTATTAAACTCCTTATCTTATTACTAAAATGATATTTACGATATATCATATAATAAAGTATAACACCTAAAGACCATATATCACATTTATAATCATATTATTCTTAACTTTATATTTGTAATGTAATTACTTTAAAATTTCTGGAGCCATTGTTGCTGGTGTTCCACAATATGATGTTAAGATATCATTTTTACTGTAATACTTGGCAAATCCAAAATCAGCTATTTTTACAACTTTATTTTCATCAATCAAAATATTATCAATTTTTAAATCTCTGTGTACTATTCCTTTTTAATAAATGTATTTCATTCCTTTTAATATTTCTATAAATATAGATTTGATTTCATCTTCATCTAAAATACTATTTTTAAGGAAATTATTTAAATCTCCATTACTACAATATTCAAAGACACAATATATTTCATCAATTTCTCTAAACTCTTCTATTAAAGATACTACATTATCATTCTAAATATTTTTATAAATTTAGATTTCTTATTCAAAATATTAAAGTTATTTTTATGATTGTGAACCATTAAAATCTATTGAAATTACTTTTATAGCAAATTATTGTTTTTAGCTATTCTCAGCTAAATAAACTTTTGCAAATGCACCTTTTCCTATTATTTTTAAGAATTGATAGTCCTTTTTTTGCATAATAACATTTTTCATAAATAGAAATATAATTAATTTATATATCATAATGGAGCTTACTTAATTAATATATTTAGTGGAACACCTTCATATTGAGTATCATTTATTAAATTTTTTCTATGATAATTTTAGAGCTTCTTTAGCTGTAAATATTACATTAGAATTATTATCTATGACTTTTTAGATAAATTCTAAGAATTATGATAAAAATTTATTTGATAATCATTGTGGATCATTGGAAGTAATTGAATACATAGCTTTTAATTGAACAATTATTTAAGAATGTGGTTCACCTTACGTCAATCCTAATGTAATAATTCCAATAATTCATATAGCTACCCTTTTCATCATAATCTTATTAAACTTTCAGGTTACAATCAAACCATTCTATCTACAATAGATTTTCTATATTATCTAAGTGGTATTAATTATATTGCAAATCCAAAGTTAGCAATCTTAATCTCTCATTTCTTATTCATGATGGTTAAACTTTCCTATGCATATTTTTGTCCCTATTATTTTGATCTGAAATTAATTACATGTGTAATTCAACTAATATCAAAATTGTATTTCTGGATTAACAAAACAAAATTCTATTAATTTTTTTTATTAAATAAATTTAAAATTTTTGAGTAACTAAAAATTTACTAAGAAAATTTTATATTATTTAATGAATACAAACCTTTGCTGATTATTATATATAAATCTACAATGCTTTCAGTTACTAAAAAATACTTCTGATTAACGTGTATATATATAGTCTAATCTCTCAAATTAGTAGATTTACTCATTTTATTATTTATAATCATCTATATTAATCCATTTATATGTTTCAATTAAATCTATTATTATTTATAATACTTCAACCTTATTTATCTACAAAAGATATGTAAATGAAGGAATATAATCAATAATATTTTGATATTAAATAATTGAAAGTGTTTGATGGCTTAAATAACTTATAAAATTGTTAATAAAGATATCTTTAAAATAATTTACAACCACAAATTGTCATTTAATAAATGATGAATCTAATATAAAAAATACTTCATAAATATATTATGATTTGATGTATATTTAATTTTTATATTATATTAATTTAATAAAATTTAATTTTTTCTTTATTAATTTTATAATAAAATAAATATAAATTAGTCTTAGATCTTTATAATCTAAATAATATTATTATATGTTCACTTTACTTTAGACATACAAATCTTTTATAAATATCATTTAATCATATTGATTTAATGATTTAATTAATGGTAGTTTTAAAGGGTCTTATACTTTTCATAATTCTTTATATTGATATAATAACTATGTCATTAATAATAAATTGATAAGTTATCATATTTACCTATAGAGTTTAGAATTTATTATAATTGTTAATTATACATCTAAATTTATATTAATTCTAACTCTTTTTTGAGAATATTTTTTATTAAGAATTGAACTTGAATAACTGGTAATTTTTTTAAAATCATTAGATTCAATTAGATTTAATGAAAATTAAAAGTTAGGATATTTATTAAGGATATTTATAAATTTAATGATTTAGAATCTTTAGTCTATTGAAAGGGGGAATTTTGTATAAAGTTATGATTAATTTATAAAAATAACAATAACTAATAATGAGCACTGCAAACGATATTGGTCTTATCTTCAGTTACGTCTATGACAAGATAAGCAAGATTCATCTACACAATGTCACATAAAGTTTATCATCCATTAAGATACAACTTGAACTAATTCTAGGATAGATGGATGAGGTGACATAGAATCTTACCTATTCAAATTTAGAGTATTTATTTGATTGGGCAAAGGCTTGCCAACAATCAATGAAGATTAATTTTTTCTAAAATTAAGAGGAGGCTAGGTTGATGCATGAAATCAACTAAATTTTACTTGAAATATTTTAATATTTTCACAATGCTATTGACAAGAACTTTATGATACCACAATCAACTATATGTATTGCTAATGAGTTAGGGAATATCATTACATAAGAAGACAATTTTATGGAAGTAATGGGAAATTCTACTTTAGTGAATTTTGCTTAATTTATTGATGTCTATGCTACTCCTAATTTTAAATTAGGTTAAGAGAACATTGATAATGCTTAAGCAACATTTTATAAATTGAATTATGGTGCTTTAGAGAGGGTTTTTACATCAGAAAATACTTTATCTTAAATAATAAAAAATGTAGCTTAATAAAGAGAACATTTCTTTTAGAGATTTTAATTAAATGTAACAATAGGTAATTTTGAATTTACTAAATATGATGAATAGAATTAGTTTTTCTTTTATCATCCATTATATGCTTTAAATGAAGAAAAGATTAAAAAGTTGTTGATAGTGTAATTTGTGGCTTTAAATTATTAACCATCAATTTAATTAGATGAATTCATATAATCTCCTAAATTTGCTGATAACATCAGAAAATTCTATCAGAAATTGATAAATACAATATAAGATGAATGATTATTATTAATTAATTCAAAATTTTATTTTCAATATTTAAAATATTAACTCACAAATTTAAAACTCATTTAGAATAATTGAATATTAAAAATTAAAAACTTAATACACTTGTACATCAAAGAATTCTAAAATTCATCTATTAATTTCTTTTGAGATTTTTTTACAAATAAAGATTATTTATAAACTCAAAAAAATAATCTACTCTATTTACAATTATTATTATTTGTTTAATTAAATTATTCTAAATATATACAAATTATTGTAGATTCAAAATTATTAATTTATATAAAGATAGACAAATCAATTTGCTCAACATCTTAAGTAATTTTAATTAATATTTAACTTAAATTGAAAATCTTTTAGAATTTTTAAGATGTTCAAATAATTCTATAAAATCAAATAGATTTAAATACTTTAAAGATGATAGTTTATATAAATTCTTTGATTTCTACTTGATTTAAGAATTCTGAGAAAAAATAAAATAATTTAGTTTCAAAAAAGAGGATACAATCTTAATTTAACTAGATTCATTTAATGAATTTATATAATCTAAATAGACTACTCAAATATCATTTGATAGATTTATAAATTAAATTTATACAAAAATTATTGTCTTTAAATGAATTAGAATTCAAATTAAATTTATAAAATACAAAATTAAATACAATTGATTTAGTTCAGATGAATAATTTAAATTAGACAGTTTTTGTTTTATATTAATAAATAAAGAGTAATATAATATAAATGAGTACAAATAATAATTTAAGAATAATTAATCATTATTTAAGGTATCTCTATACTTTACGTATCTTAGTGATTACAAAACATTTGATTGAATAAGGGGAAATATGTGGCTTTTTATGTTTATTTAGAGCAGCAATTGCAAAACTTTATTATCTGATGATAACTTGATCATAATTATTATGTGGATAGTAGATCTTATAACTTTTCATTTTTTCAAATTTATTAAAAATGACATCATTTATAAAATATCCTTGATTCTAAAATTTGATTTACAATTACATCAGGAGAAGTAATAGCTTAGAACTAGGATTACTAAGCTAAATTACTCTATTTTGTTCCAGTTCTTTGACTCTTTTATTTATTTTTATTCTCATCTGATTGTGTATTGGCACTATTAGTCTTTTTAACATTATCCTTAGTTTGACTAGATAAACCTAATGATTTATTTTATCTTGAATTAGAAGATGGATTATTAGAGATATCTTTGGAATATGAATTAGTAAATGTATGTGATCTATTAGTAGGTTATCTTTAAGATTATTTCATATTTACATAGGAAAACTATTATTGAATAAAATCTTATTTAATAATATCCTATTTATTTGTTGATTAAGATGGACCATCTTTTTAAAATTGGAATGTCAATTTATTAGGACTACTCCTATTAGTAGTTGGTAAAAATAGTTATTTTTAATTAATTAATTCATTCCTCTATCCCTCTTGTAATTACAATAAAATCTCTTTATCATCCTTATCTAAAGTTGAATAATTTTAACTTTAAGGGTTTCCAACAAAACCAGCAGTTCTATGAGATGTTTTATTTGAGTTGTGTCTTAATCGTCTTATAGATTAATCTAAAATAGGTGGAGTCACATCTTCTTATTATTCTTATTCATAATTTAATTATTCTAAACTATCTACATTACTATTAGAAACCTATTAATCTTAACTTGGTTTTTAAAATGGCATTGAATTGCTAACATAACTAACAGAATAAGTTTAATCTAATTAAATTTGAAGATATACTTTCAGAGTAAGGTAATTATGATGCTTCAGGAAGATCTTCTGAAATAATATCTTAACTTTATTTATTAATAACTTATTTAGCTTTATCTTAATTTTGAAATAGATTTTTCATAGTTAAATATTTTTAGTTTTTTCTTTTATAAGATTACCTAACTTATTTTAAACTATATAAATATTTCTCAATAACATTTTGTCTTTATGGGAAATATTAAATGTGTTTACATTCAACAATATAATGGCCTTTGATTTTGCAATAATAGCAATCAAATAAATGTTAATTATAAAATGAATTGTCTTTCATCATACAGAAAATCTCATTATCTTATGGATAATTTGAGATTATTTCTAAGAATTCTGATCTCTTAAGTTTCATAAGAGTTGTAACTCCACAACTGTATATACTAATATTTGAAGGTACTCCAGAAATAAAAGAATATTATCCAAATGCTTATCCTTCTTGTAAACGAGTGACTGATCTTTTATTATTAGCAAGAGATGATCCTTAGAATTACACTTTAACTTCTCCTTTGAGTATATAATACAATCCCAAATCCTCAATTTAATGTTCCTAATAATATTCTTTAATTATATTTACTATTATTATATTATCTTCAGGATTGAAAGTTACTTATTCAATGACATATAATAATTGTTATTTAAATTATGGTGAGAATTTATTCATTAATTCTATTTTATCAATCATTCTTGTTCTTAAAGATAGATCAATTTCATCTTATAACGCAGGACTTAATTTTTTAGTTAATTGATCTTTTGTTCTACCTATATCTTCCTATAAATATATAATAATTCTGATTTATTTACATCAATTCTAAAATCTAAATATGAATAACATCTCCTTAATAAATCTTAATCTTTACATTTCTCTTTTAATAATTCCACAAATCCTTATAATAATTTTTGTTTCTCTTCTTGAATCTCTAATTCAGGTTTGATCCAAACAAATAGTAGTATGAATGTATAAACATAACATAAATAAGAGATCAACATAAAGGCTGAAACTATTATAGAATTTTATTCATTAATTTCCATAGCTCAAATTATATTTATCAGTTATTACAAATATTTGAATTTTAAGTGATCAAAGATATTGAATACATTATATAAAATCTTAGAGAATATTCTTCATCATTAAACACTCTTAATATACTTATACATATACTTTTTAAAAAACAAGTGCATAATATTATGATTGAAATCCATAATTATATAATGAATATCATATAATGTGTTGATTTATAAACATTTTCAAAAGATTCCCAACTTCTAATTAAATCTAAAACAATAAGTAAAGATATTAAAATTATCAAAATTATATCCATATCAAATTCCAAAAATATTATCAAAATAATCACTATTAATCTAAATATATCTAAATATAATTTATTCCAATTCTTAAAATTGCTAATTAATTTTCCTCTTATTAATTTATATGGTCCCCTTAAATAATATATATCTTATAAAAGTGTCAAAATCTTTATTCCAAAGATTATTTACTGAATAATCCTAGGTCCTTCAAATAAAATTATTAAAGGTATTAAAATAACTGAAAGTAAATTAGAAATGATAACAGATAAAAATACATACATTGTGAAATAATAATATTTCAATGGAGAAACTAAAATTATTTAAATATAATACCATCATTTTATTCCTATGTTACTAATGGATCGTTGTATTTTGAATAATGTATAGAATTCAATAACTTTTATTTTATCTCATTTACTATTATCTTTACTCTTCCCTATGTATGCTTTCTATTATGATCAGAAAGTAAATGAGATTAAAATAGAGATGAGGAAGAAATAAGTGAACTATCATTCGATATTAAAACTAATTTCTTTGAATCTGATTTTTAATGCAATAAATCAGAACTCTTATGAGAAGCAATATTTGTTATTGTGGGAACCTTATAATCATCACTACTCTAATTATCTATTGGTTATTAAGGACATGTTTATAAAAAGACCGGCTTTAAATAACAAATCTATGACAAAGAAGAATGTTCTTCCTCTTCCTATATTGATTCACTATTCTTATACTATAAAGTTTAGCTAATTCTATGTTTAGGATTATAATCAACAACTTCTTGATCTTTTATTTACTAGAGTAACTATTTTCTAATTAACATTTAATAAAAATAGTACTCATGCAATAATTGTCTCTCAATAACATCCCTCAAAATCTATTCCCATTACCTATTGTTAAATCTCATTATGAGATACAACATCTATAAGAACTCAGAAATGAATAAGAAAATCAAATATTACAAGATCATTCAAAACTATTTAAAGAGAAAACTCCTAATCGTAGAGATTAAACTTTATTATAAAAAAATAAAAGATAATCAACAGTCTCTCATGATTTAAAAAATAGTATTCGAAAGATTTCAGAATATCAAAATCATTCATAAGAATAAATGCTCAATTCTCAACATTCAATTCATAACAATACAATTGATTGTTCAATTAATTATAAATAACTAAATAAGCATATTATAACTGAATAACAATTCTAAATAAAATAAAATCAAATCTAATAAATGATTAGAGAAAAACTTTACACCTCTTATTGTAATTCAATTAAAAAGCATTCCAAATTAAAAGGTGTCTTATTATAAAAAATTAGTTAATTGGCTCCATTTATATCTCAAGATAAAAATATGCATTAACCTCATATTAAAAGAATGAATTAATTTATGAAATTTAGATCTTAATCAATACCTTTTAATCCTAATATTGATTCTGTTTAAAATAGTGTCTAAAGAATTGAATCTTTACCTAGAAATCAAGACAATCAAAGATAAAGAATCACAAGTAAATAATCTACTCAAAGTTAAATGATATATCATAATAAAGATGCTGATAGAATTATTCGGAAATTAAACAGAAAAACTGAAAAATTATTAAATGAAACATATCCTGAAATTGATCCAAATCCTATTGTCGATTATCAAAAATAAATCTTAAATAGAATTGAACTCAGAAATTCTACAAAAAAGAAATTAATAGATAGCTTTCAAGAAATTATTGATAAATATTGAAAATATAAATTATTTAATCTATTTAATAAAATTACTTCAAATATTCATTAATCTAATTGAAATTCTTATATTTTATTTACTTAATCCTATGATTTATTAATTAATTATTAATATATATAATTAAGATTTTTATAATCTCAATCATAAATAAACATCTTAAAATATCTATTAATAAGATAATATTTTTAAATAAAACAACTATTCCCATTATAGTATTTATTATTATCATTCCTAAAGTTATGATTCATTTTCAAAAGTTGATTAAAGTATTATTTTAGGAGTACATTTTATAATATACTTAATAAAAAAAGTTAGATTTTTATTCATTATCATTTTAATTATATAATTTTATTTTTAATAATTGAATATAATAATTTCTTAATTAAAAATCATCATATATTATTTGCTCTATCTATTATAATATTAATGATAATAATATTCAATTGATAAAATCATTAACACTTTTTTTAATTACTAAAAATTACAATCTTAAAAACAATTTTAAAATTAATTAAACTAAGTAAGAATGTAATAATTAAGATCTTTTTTAATATTTGATAATATAATGGAAAGTACTTATTATCTGTATTTATAGATTTCATTTATAAAAATGTTGATCATTAATAAATGCTGTTATTAATATTAAATATATTTATTTTTATATATGAATAAATGCAAAATAAAGCAAATTATTCAAATAAGTAATCTTAAAATCAATTTTTGTATATTTTCATTAATAAAAATAACCCTTCAAATTATAAATGAGCTTAGAGAAAATTAGAAAATAGAAGTTAAATGTGTTTTAAGTATAGAAAAACAAAATGAAATCTGAAGATAGGGTTATTGTAAACACATCGACTAATTTTAAAGTATTCTCTCCACAGCAATCTCCTCAAATTAAATAAATTCTCAATCGTACTCAATTTTAACTTGAAAGATCAAGATCATCATAAAAAATAGAAAATATTATGATGCAAATATAAAAGAATGTATCTAAGAATGATATAAACATAATCAATAAAAATAAAGACATCTATAATTAGAATCCTTATTTGATTTAAGAAATGAAAAAGGAGATTAATATTTAGTTTTTGAGATAATGTAAAGCCAATAATACTTCAGCTTGTCTTTAATTATTAGAACCTACAATTGTTCATTAAGTTTGTAAGTTAATTGGATTAAATTTTATAGTAAATATATCACCCTAGATTCCAATAAATCAAGATCTAAAAGCCAATATAAATATTTAAGATGATGATTACAATTCTGCTCTACATATTGCTGTGAAAAATAAGAATATTTAATTAGTTCAAGCTTTAGTTTACAAATAAATTAACTTAGAGATTGAAAATTCATAAAAGATGACTTCATTAATACTGGCTAGTTATCAGTAAATTATTTATTTTAATTTTAAAAAGTGGAAATGTGGAAATATTTTAGATCTTAATTAATGAAGGAGCTTAATTTAATCATTAAGACATATATGGTAACACATGTCTACATTATGCTTGTAAATTCATTTGCAAAGAAATTGTAGCAATTATTCTTAAATTACCACATCTCATATTCAAACCTAATAATGATCAGAAGTATCCTGATTATTATATTCATGATGAAGAAATAATTTAATTATTTACTCAATTTTAATTGGAACATTCAAAATAAAGTAAATTTTAATTAAAATAAATATATAGATAAAAAAACAAAAGAAATCTAGATCTAAAATATATAAATGGAAGACTAATGTAAATCAAATACATTTTCTACAAATAAATATAAATTACAAAATAATCCTAAACATAATTTATCACCTGATAATAAATTATGTATTTTTCAACTTAAAAGAAATATAAATTAATAGAAAAAAGGAAATGTTAATACTCCTTCTACTATAGATTCGATGAAGTAATCAAAAAAAGAAGAAAAAGTTGATCCTTAACATTTTCGTGTTTTAGGTTTATTAGGAAAAGGAAGTTTTGGAAAAGTATATCTAGTACAAAAGAATAAAAAGTTATATGCAATGAAAGTACTTCTTAAGAGTATGATATTCAGTAATAAATAATTTATATTAATAAGAATAAAATATTTGTAGATATGCAATAACTGAAAGAAATGTGTTATCTGTGACATCTCATCCATTTATAGTCAAATTAAGATATGCATTTTAGACAGAAGATAAATTATTTATGATATTAGATTATTGTCCTGGAGGAGATCTTGGGATGCTTCTTTGTAAAATTTAGAGGTTTCCTGAAGAGATTGTAAAATTATATATTTGTGAAATAATTTTGGCTTTGGAGAATCTTCATAAAAGGAACATAATATTTCGTGATTTAAAACCAGACAATATTTTACTTGATGCAGAAGGACATGTATTATTAACTGATTTTGGATTATCTAAGGAGGGAATACATAATTCAAATCAAGGAGCAAAATCATTTTGTGGTTCAGTTGCTTATTTAGCTCCTGAAATGATAAAAAGATAAGGCCATGGAAAAGCTGTGGATTGGTATTTACTAGGAGTAGTAATGTATGAATTGTTGTCAGGGTTGCCTCCTTATTATACAAATGATAGAGATGCATTATTTTATAATATTGAAAATGCCAGTCTAAAAATACCTTAATTCATTTCAATTGAATGTAGAAACTTAATAAGATCAGTAATTTAGATTGTTTATTTTAGTTATTGGAGAGAAATCCTAATAGACGTTTGGGATCAGGATATGGAGACTCATAGGAAATAAAAGCTCATCCATATTTTGTAGATGTAGATTGGAAAAGAGTATTAAATAGAGAACTTTAAATGCCAAAGCCAGATTATAGTTTAAAATTAAAACATATAGGAGAATAGAATATTTTTGAATTGTAGAACTGTGTGGATTTTGAGTAATCTCATATTAATGGATGGTCATATGTTCAAACAGAATGAAATATAATTGATTCTATTGATTAACTAAATATTTCAATATTATGTTGGTTGTTTATCAGATTTGGCACCAAAGAATTTCAAACACAATTATTCAATGTCTTCCAAAGTGACTCTTCCTGTTCCCTTTCCTATTGTTATATATTTTAGATACTATCTAAGATTCTGGAATATGAAGCAATATCTGTAGGTGTTGGATTGAATCCTTTATTCATAGCTCTATAACAATCACTTAACATATATCCAACTTCAAAAGAATCAATATTCCCATCAGAGTTACCATCATAAAGAGCAAGAATTCTTTGAGCCAATTATTTGCATTATTCTGGGTCCAAAACACCGCCGAAATTAACAGCATCTGTGATTTGGTAATGTGAATATTTGATTTACTTATTTGGGTCCATGAAAAACTGTTAATTTAATTATTGTATATAAATACTCAAATTCAAAATAGTTTTAGTATGGAATTCAATAATTATTATGTTTATGTAAATATTTATCTACCATTTCCTTCTACCAATATAATACATTATTCACAACATTAATAGGAATGTCATAAACTTCAGGTAATCCTTCATGAAGTTCTGTTTTCTTGAGATTGTGAAATCTTGTATATTTGTCTAGAGTGATTTTTCATTCAATCTATACCTTCAATATTTTCATATGAATTAAAGTTATTACAGAAACAATAATTCAAAGCTGCATAACCAGTTATCACTGTAAAAATAGTAGCAACAAAGAAACTAGGTATTGCTAAAGCCCAATATTTTTAAGGGAAGAAATGAATTCCTAATGACTATAGATTAGTTTTAAGGAGAATATTACATGCAATGCTGATTCTGGTAAGAATATCCATGCTAAATAAACTACAAATACTATGTATGAAGATATCCATCCAATGAATCCGTATATTTCAATGCTTTTCATTAATATAAAAAAAAATATAAATGAATCAGAGTAATTTAAAAAGTATTTATTTATTTTGTATTCTTTTTTTAATTTGGTAAGGCATTAGCTTATCTATTTTCTACAATATTTATTCCTTATCTAAATGTTTTATTTTTTTTATGGCATTTATTTTTATGTTATTATTTTTAATCCTTATATAATGGTTCCCTAATATTTAATGAATTTTTATTATTTTTTTCTGTTCTTCACAATTCAAAAATTAACCATTAAAACGTAAGCGTCTATCAGCTATTTATTTTCTACATTCATAAAGAGTTCTATTCATCCACATTCTCTTTTTTGCTCTATACCTTTGCAAACATTCTTTGCGAATATAATTTTTTTCAATTAATTTTTCCTCACCTTGAGATATTACAACCACACTGTCCAATTTAGATTCTTAAATAGTTGATTAGGTTTCATTTGAAATAAGAAAATTATTAAGAACAATCATTTTCTGCAAAAGTTATTACTACTATTGTAACACTAAATTTAATACAGATTAATTCCCTAAGAATTTTATTAACTCGTATTTTAGCTCGTAACTGATCTATCCTAAATCATCTATGAATTAAGGATAGTTGTATAGATATTGCATTTGTTTTTCTAATTAATGTATTAGAAAAAAATAGGATTATTCGATCATTTTGAATCCCAAAAACAATGTTCTCAGAATTAAATACAATGGACCCCCTTTACTTATTATTAAATTATTTTTATACTATCTTATTCTCAATTATATTAGCCATAATAAATGAGACCTACATTATATATATAAAAATATATTCATTATTCAATTTCTCTTTTATGGCCACATCCTCCACAATATTTATGTCCCAATTACATTTTATTACCACATTATGTACAAAATTTTAATTGGGTTTTCAATTGAATATCAGTCTCCTTAAGTATCTTTTTCATTTATGGTTATTAACCAATAATGACAGGTAAAACAGGTTCTAATTTTTTTGGTTTAGGTAAATTAGCCTTATTTTTTAATTTCAATTCTTAAGGTTTGATATTATAAAATTTTTACTAAATTATTCTTTACTCATCAATTTCTCACAAATAGGAACATGACGAAGTGCAGCTTTTGGATTAAATTTACGTAAACAATGTGGACATTCAGTATCTGATAAAGCAGTTGCTCTTGTTTAACAATCCATAAATCCTAACATATTCATTCTATCAATTACCAAATCCTGTATAGATAGCTTTCTTTAATTCTGGAAGTTATCTTTTTTAAACTTCTGCTGTTTTCATTAAACTTTAAGCACGAAATGATTGCTTAGTTTGATCAATATTTTCATTTTAATTTGTCGTTGATGCTGTACTTAACTAAGTCGTTCTTTTCATTTCTTATTGTTATTTTTTTTTAGGTGGCTTTGGTTTAGCTTTGATTTCTTTGCACTTTGGAATATGTCTTTCAGCAACATCTTTTTAATAATTTCTTTGAATTATTACATCTATCAAAACTACGTTAACAATATTCACAAAACACATATTGTGAATTCTCTGCTAATTCTGGAGTCTTTACGGTTCTCTCCTCACCACCTTCATTTTGAACCTCATTTATTCATTCAATGTACTACCTCTTTATCTTTTTTATTGCAATGAATCATCTCTTAAAATTACTTATGTTATTCTCTCCAATTATTAACTGTTTTATTTTTCACTTATTTATCCCTAGTATCCAACATCTATTAAAGTTCAGCTTTCTTTTATTATTTACGTTTTATTAACTTATCTCTTTCCTTTTATTTTTATTAAGCATTCTCACACACTTACCTATGTTTTCCAATCCTCTCTGTATGAAACTTTCTGGAACATATCTCACATTACTCCAATTCTCCTTCTCCTACCCCTTACTACTCCTATTCAAAGTTCATAAATTCATTATTTTCATCTAAACATTCTGAATGCTCAAATTATTCCTCATCATATTCATCCATTAATTTATTATATAATACTTTATATATCTATATAACTAATAAAAAATTAATAATTAATATATATTATATATGTCTTAATTTGTTACTATTTTTTAGATCATTTTCTTCTATTACATAAACAAATTAATTTATATAGAATCTTAATATTATAATTTATATCTTTATTATCTTAACATTTTTTTATATTAAATAACAAAATTCTTAAAAGTACTTCATGTATAAACATTATAAGTTTCAAATTTGTTTATATTAACTATTTCATATAAATTTTTGTAATTTATATTTTATAATTTGTTTTACTACTTAACTTTAGAATAATGTTAATGAAGAAATCAATTCCATCAAGCTATCAAAAAATATAATTAGAAAATAGGTATATCATCCAATTACAATATCCAAGGTAGTCATTGTCTAAATTAATAAGAGTCTCAAGCATGACCAATTTATCCAACACCAGTACATGCTGATACTATTTAATATTAGGTACGGTAGTCAAATTTTCCATTAAAGAATTGTTAGAAAAATAAAAAAAAGGTGAAATTACTAAACTCTCTCAATAAAAAGAAAATTTTATCTCTAAAATTGCTCCAATCAAAATAAAAGCATAAAACTCAAAAAATAATTCACCTCGTTTTAGAATAAAAATACTTACAAGTCCTCTTAGTACTAATAGAACAACATTATCAAAATCATCTTAAGTTTCTCCTTTAAGACCAAGCAAACCTTCATTATATAAGGATTTCATCTGTTAATCATAACCACATATATAAACCAATTAAATTGAAAAATAAGATGAATATGCATCCATTTCTAATAACTCTCCAACAAGAATAGAAAACTTGGAAGACAATTCACCTACGCTTAATATTATAACTAAAAATATTGAAATTGAACAAGAAAAAATATTAAAGGAAGATATTAAACCTCCTAAGAAAACCAAAAAAGAATTAAAAGGTTGTTTATTAAGAGCTTTAAGAAAGCTTAAGGAAATGAATATAAATACAAAAATTATGCTCCAAAAATAAATCTTCTCAAAAAAACCATATTAAAAACCAAATTCAAAAGAGTTCATTCATGCTGTCAAATTAAATCAATTAGAAAAGGTAAAATAATACTTAGAGAAGAACAAATACATAATTTTTGATTTCGATTATTTTAATATGACAGCTTTACATTGGTCAAGTAAAAAGGGATTATATGAAATGACAGAATTCCTAATAAAAAATCATGCTGATGTTGATGCTATTGATATTTTGAATAGGACTCCTCTCTATTTATCAATTCAAGAAAATAATATTCCTATTGTTGAAGTAAACAATATATAGTAGTTTTATTTTAGTTACTATTAAGGAATAAAGCATATCCTTGGTCAACATCTGTTACTGATTTAAGTGAAGCTGTTGGAGACAATAGAAGAATTAGAACAATTTTAACTTAAATTCGAAGAGTAATATTTTATAATTATTTATTAGGTTGATATAATAAATATGTGGGGTGAAAAAAAATTGAAGGAAGAATTGTTTTGAATTATAAATATTGTATTAAAATACTTATAAATTTTGATTGAATTTGAAAGTATTATTTTATTAATTTTAATCAGATTGATAAAAAATATTTAAATAAAATGATGATAAAGAAGATATATCATTTAATTAATTAATTATCAAAATTAAAATTTATACTTTGATATAACAAACTATATTAAATAATCATTTATAGTATATAAAGATTAACATTATAAATTTAGTATATATGTATATAGATTAGGAAATTACAAAGGATTAAGTTTAATATTCTATTTTTTTAATAGTAAGATTTCTATTTGTCATTTCTACCCACTATCTAATATCTGATGAAAAAGGTAGAATATCAAATTGATGTATTCTGGAGGATCAGACCAAAAGGGAAATATTTTTTGTTGGTATTTTCTTTTTATAATTTACAAACAATTAGACAAATAAAGTAGATAATAAATTAAAAATAAATATATGAAATATAATAAAATATCATTAAATGATAAAGATTTTTTTAAATATTGACTAAATTCTTGTTTATTTGTTTTAGGAATATAAAAATTTTAATAAATTTATAGAACTCTAAAGACATTATTTAATAATTTATCACTAATTTATTAATGCAATCTTTGTTGAATCCATTTTCTTATTGTATATTTTAGGGTAAAAACAATAAAAGCATGTGAAAATGAACATAAGAAGAAAGAAAAAACTTAGTAGAAAAGCTATAATTTTTATATAGCCAAAAAATTTATCCCAATAATTTATTATGGCTTTCGAACATGAAGTACTTGTATTATAATATAAATATTTACGATGCATTTATCTTAGAATTCACATCGTTAAAAAATTGAATAGGATATTAAGTACACCAACCAGAACATTCATAAAATGATTCAATCTATTATAAAGATGCAATTTCTGTTTTGTTATAATTTTAAGATTAAGTACATTATTCAAATCTTACTGGCTAAGATAATAGGTATTAATTTACTAATGTTTTATCTGTTGCTGAATACTTTTAGACATACTTTAATTAATTTCGAGCGATTGTTCCTGAAAAATAGCATTCACAACCATCTTTACAAAGAGTTTCAGCAGCTACTTTATATAAGATATCCTTCTCATATAATTTTGTATTATCACATATATATGAATTAGAAAAATTAGAAAATGCTGAAAATAAACTAATTAATGCATATGTCAAGGCAAATATAAAAAAAAAGCAACAGTTGCATGTATTAAAAATACCTAATAAACATTTGTTCTCTTATCGTATGCCAATTAATCCAATTATTGCAACAATTACTATAATAATTACTATAATCTAATAAAAAGTAAAATAGGTAAGTGTCGATTATTAGATCTAGATTGATAGTAATAATAGCTATACATCTTTATCTTAATCTCCTTCATCGACATTATTTATTTTCTTTTTTTCAATTAAAGCTCCTAATTCAACAATTAGACACAATCCAAAAATAATACCAACTCCAATAAAAAGACCCAATCTTAGAAATTTATAGGGTATGCAAGTGAAACAATTTATACCTGAAGAACCTATTTAAATTTCAAACATTTCAAATAAAATTAATGAAAAAAAAAAGATAGAAATTAAGAATTAATTCAACAAAACATAATAAATAAAAAAAAGTATTAATTGAAATATTATAATTAAATCTAAAATTATCTTCTTATCGATTTACTCTTGGTATGTTTCTAGATTGCAATTAATTCAGATATTAAATAAGCAACTCTATTTAGATAATTGTTTATTCTATCTTTTCCTATCTCAAATTTCTATTCTTATTTGCATTAACCATGTGATAAAAAACATAAAATAGTTGTTAAGTTAGTAAAATCCACAATTTACAAATTTCATTGAGAATAATAGAAATTTATAATGAATAAATTTAAATGTTCTATTAAAATAAAAATATAATTTAATCTAAATTTTATTGTTATTCTATATTTATATTTAATTCATAAAGCACTAAAATCAAGTAAATGATCTAAAGCAAAAATGATTCACCTTAAACCTTATCTCGTAACAGTAGAGTTTATAAATGAAGGAAAATTTTTAATATTGACTTTTATTTAGGTTTCTCTTTATTTTTATTGATTATACAAATCAAAAATATATATATATATAATTAATAAATGTATATTGTCTAAAAATTGAATTTAAGCTGAAAAAGAATTAAAGATTTTTAAAGTGAGAAAAAGTTTAAATTAAATTAAATAAAACCAACATAAATTGGATTTTGTATATATTCAAAAGTTGTGAATAATAAACATTTAAAAGTGAATATATCAGAATCTTTATGTATATTATCTTATATATTATAAAATAAAAGTTAATATTCCTTAAACACCTATGTTTTTCACCTTTTAAAATACCAAGCAAGCAAGGGCTTACTTAAAGGCAAAACAAATAGATAAATTACCTTATTTTAAAAGATGCAATCAAAGTTTTAACCAGATTCCTTACTAAATACCTTCTATTTAATGTAAATTTTAAAATTTGAATAAGATAATCATCATTATTAATGTTTTATATTGTTCTTCAGTATGTAATTTGTCTTTCTTTAGATTCTGTTTGAGTTTGTACATTTATTGGATTAGATTCTTGCTAAAATATAGATCTCTTATTTTGAATTTATTGCTTTGATTATAAAAATCAAGCATCTAGTTTTATTAAAAAATAAAAGTAACTAATCTATTATCTTTAATTCATCATATTCTACATTACATCAGTCTTTTATGAATAATAATTCTATATTACTATAAAAGTAAACCTAATTCCTAAATAATGAAAGTTATGTTTATTCATTTATATCAATTTAAATCTCTATTTTAAGAATTTTTTGAATAAAGTATAAGTAAATACTCCTTTTAGTTAAATAATCTCATCTTAATTTGAACATTGAATTTATTTATATATTTAATATGAAATTAAGTACTGTAAGAAGCTTATTTGAGTTTAGAGACACATAAATAGAGGGAATTTTAGAGAATCTAATTGGGTCTGTAGGTATATCTTATGTGGGCTATAAAATATAGGGTAACTCTAAGGATTAGGATTGCCTGATATTTGCATAATTTGTAAGAAGCAACCATTAGGGGTGTTTAAATCAGGATTTGATCAATGGTCAAGTTTCCATTGTGTATTAGGAATATGTCCAACTTCTTAAGCAGAGGTTTCAGCTTATATTCAATCTTTAATAATGAATTAAGAAAAGGACACTTTTTCTAAAATATTTGGAAGTGATGTCATCATATTTAAAGTATTTAGAATTATATTAATAATTAGATCACTTACATAACATATGATATATTTTCAAAGATTCTCTTGGTATGTCAATTTGAAAAGCCTAGTGAAGGACTGTCGTAGTTTAAAAATTATGGTATATAGTAAAATAAATAATGTATTCAATTAACGAAAAGTCATTGGGAAGGAGCACACATAAGTGGAATTTTAAGGATATTGGATGGCAATTTCAGAATGCCAAATATTGGTAGATTCTATAATTAGACTAGTATAAATAATCCAAAATTTTTATAAAATCTCATTGGAAAATTGCTATAAAAGATATCTGGTTTAGATAATTAATTTCAAGAACTCAATAAAATAAAATCAAAATCTGATTTTCCTCCTTTAAATGATATAATTTTCTATCTTAATTGGCCATTGAGTATCATATTCAATTATTTACATAATACAAATTAATTAGATTTATTGCTTGAACAATTTAATAATTTAGATGATAACATTATATTTAAATTAATCAAATCCTTAATACATTATAAAATGAAGTAATACAGATATTAATTATAATAGAAATTATAATAAAAGTTTGAATGAATTAATAAAATTATAAGAATCCAATAATTGGTTTAATCTTCCAAAATTCATTATGGCAAATATATTTATAAAATAAACTAATTTTGAAAAGGCTTTTATATTATTATAAGATTTAATAGTAGAATGTTATGAAAATTAAATTATTTGGATAACTTTAGTATATAAAATATATTAATATTTTAGTCTAAAATATTTCGTAAATAGAAATTATTTTAAATTAGTCTTATATTGATAAATAAAGCTATTGCTTTACCATTAAAATAGACAGTAAAATAAATATGGAATGATATGAATCTACACAATTATAGATTATTGACTTAAAATAAAAATTTATAATAGCCTTCATAGATGGATTAGATTTATAAAATTGTGCATCCTTTGGCAGCTGATAAAATTGAAAGTTATGTATAATTATGTGGATATCCAAGTATAGAAAATTTATTAGTTAGACCAAGAATGAATAATAAAAAAGATTAAAAAGTATTATCTTAATTTAATAATTCTTAGAATACAATTGAAATGATGTTCAAACATATTTCAAGACCAGAATTCAAAGTTAATTAATAAACATATGATACTTTAATGCATAATGATCTCTTAGATATTGAAAGTGAATTATCCAATATTCTCAAAGAAGTTATTAAAATATAACATGTTGTGGGATATTAAAAATTAAAATCTTATATTAATTAATATTTTTATACTACAGCTAAAGTAGTTTAAAAATAAATAGATTAAATATATGATCCAAGTGAATTTTCAATTGCTATAAAAAATCAGAGAAACTTGAATTTAAATGTTAGTTAGATGAGCAATACAAATGTATGAATTTATATTCTTATAAATTAAGAAAAGTATGTGTAATCCAAGATTATAAGATGACATAGAAGATTGTGATTCTGATGAAGAGTAACCTGAATTTCTAAAAAAATAAAAAGTCAATAAATCTTTTGATTTTACAAATATAGGTCCTCGTATGTATTAAACTCCATAACATAATAATAAAGCTGTTAAATCACCATTAAAATTTACTAGTATGAAAAAGAAATAATAACAAATTAAGAAAGCTAATACAATTATAATAGAAAATGCTTTTGAAAGTGTTGAATCAGAGAGATAAAATAAATAATTTATAACAATTGTAAATAGAGTTAATATATAATAAAATGAAATGATTTCATAAGCACCTAAATCAGGCTAAGATGTTTAACCATAGAAATCATTTATATATGGTTTGGTTTCTTATTTGAATTAAAATTAAAATTAATAAGAATAGGTGTTGATGAATGAATAATTGAAAAGGAGAAAAGAGTAATTGAATAATTTACTATAAGGAATGGTTGATACAATTAATAGAATATAAACTGAATTAGATTTATTATTTTATCCTTCTCAAGATTCAAATAAATAATAAAATAATCAATAAAACTCTTAATTAAATTAAACAAATAACTAATAATCAGCAAATTCATCTACTTAATTATTTAAATCTAATTTAAAGAAGGCTTTATAAACAAAATAACATTTGGGTGGATAAATAGAATTAAAAGAATTTTATATTGTACAACCTTTAAATGAAGATGAACCAGATAAAGAGAAAACATATATATCTTTTATTAAGGCTGAATCAATGTTTTTATATAAATGTGCTCGTCTGGCATAGAAATTAAAAAGGAATGATTTATGTTACTCATTATTATAACGATTGAATAGTAGAATCATATCAGTTTAAATTACAGCGCTCTTCTTTAATATAATAAAAGACAATAATAAATTATTGATTAGACAGTATTTATATATAAATAAATGTATTTATAGAATTTAGAAAATGTTGGCTGACTTTTAAGAATGTGGAATAAGCCAGGTTGGATTTGTACCATTATGGTTAGAAACTAGAATAGTAAAAATGACAAAGTAATATGGAGCTAATTAAATACTTGGTTTATTATCTTCATCAGAAACTGATTTCACATTCTACTTAATTAAAAAGATCATTTTAACAACTGATAATTTAATATGATTATTAACACTATTAATATTAATGATATATTAATATTTCTTTATATTTGAATATAAAACTCAATAAATTTAAGTATATGATCACAGTATAGTTTAATTTTTAATAACAATCTCTTAAAATTATAGAAATTTAGTATTGCACTAATATTTACATCATTAGGGTATTTTGATATCTTCATAATTTTTTCTAATTTTTTATTTAATTAATAGTTTATTGATGAAGAAAAATTTCTGAATGAATATATTCAACAGCTTATTATTAAAAAATAATTCTTTTTTGGTGTTTTGATAATAGATTACTTTTAAATTTTGATATAAGTTAATACAACTTATATATATTTTAGATGAAGTCGATCATTTTGAATTTAAAATTTTCTTGCTCTAATTATATTTTTAGTATAAACTTCTAATTTTATTTCATCAAAAGTAATTGGAAACTCTAGTAACATTATTAATTATAAATGAATTCCTTATAAGAGTAACCATTTCAATATAGATAACTCAGATCTTAATCACTTAGTCCTTATAACGACTGCAATCTTATTAAACAACTCAAGAAATAACTCCATTACCCACCTTAAAAAATAATGTAATTGGCATCTTATGAATATATGTAAAATCCAGAATAAGATGAAACAAATGTGATTAGTTCAGGTAAACATGTTTTTAATAGAATATAGATTCCATATAACATTATCAAAGGGTGACTAGAGAAAGAAAAAACTCATTAATAGTTGACTCTGACCTTAATACTTTAAAATAAGAAGCAGCATAAAGTGCAGATATAAATTAACTTAAATAAATTGTACCCAAACTTGTAGTAGTTAAAAAATTGAATTAGAAGTTATCTAGAAAAAAGAAGAAAAAGATAAATCCAGTCAACCCATAGGATTGTAACGATGACGACATTTTACAACAAACCATTGTTGTACAACCAAATAATGCGATGATGTAGGTACAACCAAAGAAGGAAGATATAGCCATCTTACCTTAAATAAAGAAATAAAAACTTTAAATTGAGGAATAGCCAATCAAGAGATCAGCAAGATATGAATAATTAATGGTATTAAAATAGTAATTTAGAAAAAATCTTTCGATGATTAATTTGTAGAATTATAATCATTAATAAAGAAGATGTAGAAGTAACCAATCAATAAGAAAGATAAAAAAGTTACTTTTCTTCTCTGAAATTCATTGATTTCCAATTGAATCATAATTTTATGTACTTAAGTGTTTAAATTAGAGATAATATTTAATATTAAATTAATAGACATTATAAATTCAATAGATAAATATATATTTATATTATCTTTGCATTAATTGATTAAATATATTTCAACTAATTTTGATTTTTTAGTATAATTATATAAGTAATGTAACAATGAATAATAATCAATTTCGATTCAATGTAATTAACTTATTAATATTATTTTATTCACTTTTATGAAATTAAATACAAGTACATCTAGTGCTCCATTCATACCATAAAGACCACTTAGTTAAAATTCATCATTTGTTTAAGGGAGAATACAAACTCCTCCAAGAGTAGCACGATTTGCTGATACATCACCACATGCATCTTTCGAATTTGAAGATTTAAATTCTCTATCACTTGAAGATATCAATAGAGAATTAGATTAGAATAGTATATTTAATTTTAAGTAGTTAATGAGGTGATCATGTTGCTTAATAGAAGAAAAAGTTTAATTTTAAATAAAAAAAGAAGATTAAAGGAGGAATTTTCAAATAAAATTGCAGAATTAAAACGTTATTAATATGAAGATTATGTTCAAGATTTATAAAGAATTGAAGATCCAATGATATAATCACTTATGTAATAGAAAAGCTTACCAAAAATGTAAAAATTGTTAGGGAATGTAATGAGAGATTAATAAGATCGTAAAGTTATGGAATTAAGTAAATCATAAGAATTTTGGTAACATAATAAGAATGTTGAAACAGAGATTGATAATCTACTTAAAAAATTGAAATATTTTGATAATGAATTAGAAAAAGATAATAATGAAATATATGAGATTTGTCGTCAATTAGATACAATAGATGATAGTATAAGAGATTTACTTATTACAAAAGTAGATGATAATGTATAGAGAGCAGAACCATTATTTGCAAATAAATAAAGATAATAATCAATACTTAATGGAAAATTGAATTAAAGAAATAAATTAAAGGATGAGAAAATGAATTTAATATATAAAATAATAGAAGAATTATAAAGATTAAGAGGATTAAGATAAGAGAGGATTAATAAATTAAATATTGTATTTGGAGATGAAGAAAATATATAAAATTCTAATTATTAAGGATTATAAAATGTTTAAGGTTCATAATAAAATTTAGATTAACCATAACCATCAAAATTATAAGCTTATATGGATTTTATGGAATAATTTGATAATATTGCATAAATGAGAGATTAAATATCTAAATTAGAATAAGCTGAATAAGGATTATTAAATGATTTAGATAGATTGTATAGAGAAAGTGATCAAGTTTTTAGTGAATTAATTAGAAGAATTTCAGAGGAAGCCAAAACATTTAATGAATGGACAGAGAATCTAAAAAGAAGAATTAGATATATAAAAGCAAATGAATATTTCTTTTCTTAAACTAATTTACCTGAATAATAAAATGGATTAATAAATTCTTTACAATTAGATTTAAAAGAAGTAAGCAGAAAATTTAAAGAAAATATGAATTATCTTAAACCATTAATTGAAGAGGATTCAACAATAAGAGCAGGTTTAGAAAAAACAGGAAGTACTATTTAATAATTTAAGAATATGATATTGTATATATAATATATTTATAATATTATTAGGGCTATTTAAAATGAAAAAGAGAGGAGAAGAGAATTATTATAAATATTAGAGAATTGTGCAAGATTAAGATAAGAGGAAGATATGTATTTTAAGATATGTTATTTATAGGAAAACTGAATAATTAAGGAATATAGAATTAGAAATAAATAAAAAATTATAATAAAAACGTAATTTAGAAGAAGATTTAGATGGTGTTTTAGGAGATGCTGATTTAAATACATTTAAGAAGATAGGTATTATATTAATTAAAATTAGAATCATTATTACATGATTTTGATTAAGAATTGGTTCATTTGAATAATTAAAAAAGAAAAATAATTAAAGAAATTGAAGAAATTAATTAATCTGTTATTAATTTATTAGCAAGAATTAAAAGTGATTATGATGATATTTTAAGAGAAATATTACCAAAAGATTGGACTAATACATATGATTTAAAAAAAATCACAGATTTAAAAAGAATGAAGAATTACTTAAAAAAGACATTTAAACGTTTTGGTATAATGTCAGATTGAATACATTATTAATAATTTTTTATAGTAATCATTTATTCATACCCAATTATGATTAAGTTCTTCTTAGTTTTTAAGTAACATCTTAATATTCAGATTATTAATTAATAAACTTATTTAATAATTCATTCCTTAATAATCTTCCTTTAATATTTCCTTAAAACAATTCCTATTTTGTAGAAAATGATATTATTGATACTTTATTATGACTAATATTTGTAAGTAATTATTATTAAGATCTATTAATACTTATACTATTCTATTATAGAGTCATTTATTTTTCTGGAGTTTGTCTTAATTTAAAAAATCTAGGATTCGCTAACTTAGCAAATCTAAAATATTTTGTACTTGTTTAATTTAATTAGTATTATGATTATAATGATTATTCAATAGGTTATTCTGGAAATATTCTCTACAATGTCTTTTTCATCTATATACTTTTTTAAGTCTATTTAAAATCATTTATTCTCTTAGCTACAAACTTCTTATTAATATTTGGAACAATCTAATTCAAAAAATAAACTCCTTCAAATACTAAGACTAATCCTTCATCACTTATACATAGAGCTTGGGATTTTCTAATTTAATAGAAATTAACACATTCAAAATCCCCTATTAATTAACCAGGTGTATATATATTGATAGATTTTGTATTAGTTTCTGTTATTTCTCTTTATTCAAAGATCCCACTTATTACTAAATATACTTATGATGCCTTTTAATTTTGATTATATAATATATCTTAGCAACACAAATGTTAGATAAAACTGTTGAGATAGAATTACTTAATTGTAGTAAATGGCAATGTTTTAAACAAATGGAATGCATATATCTGTTACAGTAAAACATTTATTTTGGAAATCTCATAAGTTAACATATTGATTTTAAAATCCAACTTGGAAATTACGGCTGCTTTACATACTGATTTGGTCTTAACTATCAGGTTTGGGCTTACTTCCTAAATATGGAATACATATCTGCATAACAATCATTTCCAAATACTATCAAATTCGATCCAAAATGTTTTGTACACAATAATTCTTATTCATTAGATTAGACACTAATCTCACCAGTTAATAATATTATTAATTATTCCTGATTCTCTCTCCCTCTCAAGTAAAGAATTTGATTTTTTTTTAATTATTCGAATTTCATTAGCTAATATACTAAGACTATTTATACTTAGCAACATTCCGATAGATAATCTAAAGATGAGTTTCCTTTAAAATATAAATGTGATCGCATGAAACTCATCAAACGTTAATTGTCTTCATTTGTTCTCCTTAGTTCTTCCATCTTTAGAACCTTTACACAAGACATAATGATATTTGGATTTCTTGTAATGTGCTAATCCAGTCTTCGAATATCTTCCTCATTTATATCTGTCATAGTTGCTTAATTTTACATTAATAATATCAATATAAAATCATTATACAATTATGCAATTTTTACATAGAAAGCTATTTAAAGATCTTTCTTGATTTTTATATTATTATTATTTTAGGTAGAAACTTGATTTGTTATAAGATGCCTTGAGATTTCCATTTTGTTAACTTTTGAAATATCAATTTCTTATGGTTTATAAATTAATTTTTTTTTGTCATATGTTCAAATTAAATTGATTTTTAGAATAACATTAACTTTTTTTCATAAATGAACATGATTAATTTTAGATTTAATCTGGTTATATAATGTAATTGGGATAGTGTAAAAGCTAGTATAATCAACATTTAGAGATTATAAAATTAAATAAAATTTCAATAATCTAATAGATATCTATAAATTTAAATCTTATTATATATGATTAATTTATAAGAAAATAACTAAATTATGAATTAAGTTTAGAATTGATCTCAATTTAGGCTTAATTATAATTATTGTTAATAATTATATATATTTCTAATTTGATAACTTTGTAATTTGAAATCAAAAATATTTTAGTAGTACAAATTTCACTTAAAAATCGTTTGAATTAAGAATATTAAAATAAGAATTATAAGTTATTATAATTTTAATATGAAAATGAACTAAAATTCAGATGAATGCAGATTGATAAAATAATTCGAGAACCTTTCTCTGAAACGTACACCTCATTATATTTTTACTAAATAAGAGAATAGGATTTCAATAAATAAAATTGACTTAAAAACATTTTTAAAAGAACTCTTTCAAAATGACTGAATTACTTTAATATATATAATTTTGTTGAGAAACAAATTAATAGATATAACTCAACAACATGTATTTAGTGACTTTTTATCATCCTCTGAATTTTGTAGTGTATTTTTGTTTTGAGCATTTGCACCCTTCTTAATTCCACAATTCTAGATTATTATATATATTATTATTATACCTCATCACGCAAATCAATTTATTTACTTTTTAATTTTTGTATGATCTCTTTAGCACTAACAATAAAAGCATCATCAATATGATCTCCTGTTTTTGCACTTGTTTCAATAAATAATATATTTTATTGTTTTGCCAATTATTTTCCTTCCTCTGTTGTTACTTCTCTCATAGATTCAAGATCAGTTTTATTACCAACCAAAATCATACTCATTGTCTAATTTCCATTTTATCTTGCTTCTTCAATCCATGTTTAAACACTATTAAAAGATTCTCTCCTTAAATTATAGAAATAAATTATTTACTTTGTGACATCATAAACAATTAAAGCACCTGCTGCTGATCGATAATATGTTCGTGTAATGCTTTTAAATGCTTCCTATCCTGCTGTATCCCAAACTTATAATTTTATTTAAAGATCATCAACTTCTATAGGTTTAGCACCAAATTCTACACCTATTGTTACTTCATGTTTCTATCTAAATCGTTTATCTAATAATTAAAGCAAAAGGCACGATTTGCCAACCCCTTTGTTAAGTATAATATCATACCTGAGTCTCCTATGATGATATATTTAAAAAGAAAATCGTAAGACATAATCAGAATATATTAAAAAATAATTATATAAATATAATATTTATTTACTTGCATTAATTCTACAAGTTTTATTTGATTTTTAGGTGATTCAATCAGATTTCATACAAATCAAATCTTAATCAGTATTTGTGAATATTTATTAATCAATATAATTAACAAATATTTAATAGAAATCTATCACAATATTATTAAGTATGAACCCATATCTACTACACTTATATAAATATTCTAATAAAACATAGGATCTTCAATCTAAGTACAAATATAATCGTCTAAAATAATATTTATTTTCTGAGCTATCTAATTTATAATTCTGTTTTGTTGTAATTAATTCATAAAATTGTACAAAACTAATCATATAAATTCTAATTGCAAAATAAGATCATATAATTAATCTTATATTGATTACAAAGTAAGAATATGTGCATCATAAATAGAATATACGAGTGTCTTATCATTTTTGAAGAATGTCTATATATTTCACTCTTAAAGGTCATATTAAAAATAGTTCTTTTAAAGAAAGTACATCTATTCTTATTAAACTAATATATGTTTTCATAATCTATTTTAAATTGGTGTTAGAAATTATTCATTTCTGAAAAATAAATTTTAAAGGAAATTTATATTGGATTATGTTGAATCATTTTTTAATTTTCATAGTAATTAAATTCATAAATTTAGTAACCAAATTATCTTTAAACTTATCATATATTTTATTACATTTTACTTAAAAAGAGATTAAAAATATTTATATTTAACTTATTTAAAAGAAATACTATATAACTAATTCACAAATTAATTTAGGAAGGATTTATTACTTTAGATATAATTGATTCATTTAGAGAAAACCAGTAATAAATTTTATGAATTACCTTAATTATAAATTATTAAGGGAATCATATTGAAATATGAATAAATTGATTTATAATTAATTAGAAAATTTATGAATAATTTATCTTTTGATGATATACTTTCTAAGAAAATAAAATTTGGAAAGGTCCAGATTTAAACATTTTTGATCATTAGTTTGATTAATTTAGTAGATGGATCTGAATTCATGTTTTTGCAATTAATGAATGCAATAATTTATAAAGAATGGTCTCTAAGTTTAGGATAATTGATCGTTTTAACAACAATTTTCAATTTAGGTCAGTTTATTGGAGCAATGTTTTATGGACAATTTTCTGATAAAACAGGACGTAAATTAATGATAATATATTCATGTTTACTTTAAGTATCAAATAAATGTAATATTGTTCATAGCTATGTTACTTACAGCATTTGTTTAAGATTTACCATAACTATTAATATTAAGGTTTTTATTTGGGTTCCTATTCGGTATAACATCACCTGTATCATCAATATTAATGGCAGAAGTGACTCCACTTCATATTAGAGGATAATTTATTGTAGCTTTATAGATTATGTGTATAGTGGGTAGAATGTGGATGTTGTTATTAGCAATAATATTTTTGGATTCTATAGCTACAGGAAATTGGAGAGCCCTTGCAATTACTAATAGTATACCATGTCTTATTTGTTTGATTGGAAGTATTATATATATACATGAATCACCACGTTTTCTTATATCTCAAGGATATATCAAGGAAGGAGTTGAAGGAATTAACTTTATGGGTAGAATGAATGATAAAGATTATATAGATTTATAGGATGATGAAATATAATCTCTTTAATAATGGAGGAAGAGTATATTTGAATAATAATTTGAAAAGAAGAGTTTTAAAGATTTATTTAATCAAGAAAATTTACCAATAACTTGGAGAGCATATTTATTAAGTATAATTGCTATGTTTATGTAATCTGGACTTTATATTATCATACCATTTTTATTTAATGAAGAAGAAAAGACTTTGTTGGATTTATTTTATACTGTATTAATAGAAATGCCAGCTGTTTTATTAGTAGTTTGTTTGATTGACAGAATTGGAAGATTGTCAATAATACTTATAGGAACAATAACATCAATGATTACAGTTTTTATTATTTGGTATTGGAAAGCTAGATTTCTATTGATAGGTTTAATAATATTCAAATTTTTTAATAGAATGATTTTTATTTCATTCACTCCACTTATTTTAGAATCTTATTCAACATTATATAGGTCTTTGGGAACAGGTACAACTATTGCCTTTGGCAGCGCAACAGGTTTCTTTTCTCCAGCAATAATACTACATTTATATTAAAAAGATAATTATAGTCCTTTTTTAGTTTCATTCTTTATCTTAATTATGATGACAATTATTTTTACTACTTATCCTAAAGATTTAACAAGAAAACCACTTGATATCAAATTTTAAAAGGAAGATTGAGTAAATTATTATCTAAATGTTTATTTTTAATAATTTTATTATTCAGATATTAATTATTATAGTAATAATATTATGAATATTCATAAATATAATAGAATTAAATATATTAAAATGAATATTTTAAATAATTATTTAAAGAATATAAACCATAGAAATATATTAAGATTAATTAATGAATACAATTATCTAATAAGATTAATTAATGAATATTATTATTTAATAAAAATTAAATATTTAAGTACTTGATTATAATATCACTATAAAGAATGGTCATTTTATATAGTTTTAATTATGAATTCTAAAAACTCTTATTCACTTAAGACAGATTTTTATTGTAAATTAGTTTTACGTAGAATATTATGCCAATTCTGATCACTAATTCTATTACCTCCAAATATTCTTCTCATTTCTATCATTGATAATGCATTATCTTTATCTACATCTAATTAAGCAAATACTAATTTCAATTTCTCAACTGTTAATAATTTCTTTTTATCTTAACAAGCTAATAAGAATTCTTAATAATAATTTATTATTATTTTATACCTGTATAATCTAAATAACCATTTCCATTTGAATCTATCTTTTTTACTAATTTTTCAATGTCTTAATCTTCTAATTTAGTACTTGTTTAATATTTTTTATATCCTCTATCTATAATCAAATAAGTACCTTCAATTAATTCTTAAGTAGATATTTTACCATCTCTATTTGTATCAAATTCTTAAAATATCTAAAAGATTTCTCTCTTTTATTCTTAAGTAAGAGTCATTTAAACTATTTACATAATAATAGCTTCTACTAAGACCTCACATTTTTAAAATTTTCTAAGATTAGTTAATGCTGGATTCATTTTCAATGCTTTCTTTTTTTATTTTGCTTTTACTATCCATTTATCCTTTAAAGCATCTTATGCAGAAGGTCTTTGATATTATGAAAAATTTAATAATTTTTTGACAAATTCTCTGGCTTCTGGAATTTTATCCCAATCAAATGTATCTTCTAATTTAATAATACCTCTCATTATGGAATTTTTAATTGATGATGCCATAATACCATCAAATGGCATAGCTCCAGAAAGCAAAAAATGTAATAAAACTCCAGCTGACCAAATATCAGATTTAAAACTATAATTTTCATTAATCATTTCAGGAGATTAATAATATTAATCACCTATTGGTTATTAAAGATTATGTTAAATTTTTTTAGCAGCTCCAAATTCTAAAAAAGTTATTATAAGTTAATCATCACAAAAAAGAGTATTATGATCTTAAAATTAATAATTTTAATTATTATACTTAGAAAACGATATATGATATTTTTAGAATGTAAATATACAAAAGTACTTAATACTTACTCTATAATAACAGCAGCCATTTATTCTGGGTTTCCTCCTTTATTTATCATCTTACTTAATAGATTACCACCTACATAATCTTCATAAATAATGTGATAATATTCAGTTTCATTAAAATATTCCATCATTTTGGCAATATTTGGATGATCCTTGCTTTTATATTAAATTTACTAAGTATTGCATTAAATGAATGTTTTTTAAGATCAATACAGGTTCATCTGATTTTGGATCAGTTGATTTTTTTATAGTTTTAACTAACTTGCGAGAATCTGTTTTTTTACAATAACACCACTAATAAATTCCATATTCAGTAGATAAAAAAGGATTAGGATCAATAATATTGTATTCATCTTTAAATAGGTTCTTATTAAGTTGAAAGCAATCTCCTAAATCAAAAGGCATTTCTGCATAAACAGGGTTTGCTGACATAAATACTCAAAAATGTATACTCTCCAACAATTAATTTTTTGGTATGATTACTTTTAATTTAGATGAATGTCTTTTGTGCACTTCTTCTTTTTGTTATTTTGTAAAACAAGAACCCATTAGTTTAAAATAAATTAAAAAATTATGTCTTAATATAGACCATAAAGAATCAATATTTCTCGAACTACATAGCCATAATAAGATAGTTTATTATTAGATAATGAACAATTGAAAAGTCCATAATTTGCATAAGAATAAAGGTAAGACTTAATGTATATTAATTAATTTTATAGTACTCTCCCTAGAAGTACTTATAGAACACCAGATGCAAGAGTTAATCATTTTGATGGTATATAAAATGAAGAAATATATAAGAAAAAGTATATAGAAAAACTTATTATAGAATAAATGAATTGTAAAGATAAAATGATGATTTAAGAGAAAAGTATTTATAGGTATCAAGTGAAAATTAAGTGATAATATAAGAATAAAGAGAAGAAATTGAATAATATTAAAATGAAGTTAATATATTGAAAGAGTAATTGATGTAAAAGGAAATTGAAATGAAATAGTTAAATGATTTAAATCAATCTTTAAAATAAGAAATTAGTGATTGGGAGGGTATTATTATAACTTAATCAATATTCAATAGTGGGTTTTGATAAATTGGAATAAGATTATAATCATAAACTTAAAATTGAAGATGATTCTTAAAGAATATTATCAGAAGTGTAACTATTGAATGAAGAAAATTAGAAATTGTAAGAAGAATATCAAGAAAAAGATAGACTATATAATTAATGCAAATAATAATTATAAAGTATTCAAATTGATTTGAATTAATTGTAATAAGATAGTTAGTACAATCAAGAATTATTGATTTAAAAAGATAGGGAAATTCATGAACTAAAATAATAGATTGAAAGGAATAAGGAACAATCAAGAAAACAATAAGAATTTTCAAATAAAGTATATAATTTTTATTCTAAATTTTTAGTAAGATCTATTGACTAAGGAAGTATAAAAGTTGAATCAATAAGTAAAATAATTGTAAAAGGAAAATTAAGATTTGAAGAATGAAAAACAATTAATTTCTTTGGAACTATAAGAAAATAGAGCTAATCCTGAATATTTGAGCAAAATCAATCTTTTAGGATAGGTATATCAATTCTATAATATCAGGAAGTTGAAAGATTAAATAATACATTAGCATTAAAGAGTCGAGAATTAAATGATTATAAAGCTTAGATTAATAGAATGCAGAAAGAAATCTAAAATTTAAGAATGAATGAATTTCAATTACAAGATATGAATATGAGTTTGGATAACTTAATTAATCAATATAATAAATTGAAAGATGACAATTAAATACTAAAATAATAAATATCATAAAAATAAAATAAAATCAATACAGAATTAGATAAGAAAATTTAAATACTTTAATAAGAATGTGAAAAACTTTCATTATAACTCAATTCTAGTAAAAAAGAGAATGATTATTTAAGAGAATAATTAAATATATCATCTTAATTAGAAGATACAAATAGATTATTAAAATCTTAAGTAGATAAATTATAAATGTAAACTAAATAGCTTGAAAATGAAAGATAAAGTTTAATGCAAGAATATCAATTACTATCAAATAGTTACAATAATTAAAAGTTTAATTATTCCTAATTACTACAAGAATAATAAGAAAACAATGATTCAGTATTGTATATTAATTAATACAAAATAGGTTCTCCAATTAAAAAATGAAATATAAAGATTATAAAAGATAATACAAGATACAATTGATAAAAACCCAAATAATAGTAATCATTAAGATATTATACAATAATTATAAAAAGATTTAGAAATAGCTAATAAATAAATTCCTTTATTGAAATAAACAATTTAAAAGTTAAAAAATGAATTAGATATAACAAAAGAGTTTATTACTTAAAATCAATATGAATAATCATAAAGTCAAATAGATTTTAATAATTAAAAGAATAAAGATAGATTGTAATAGCCTATAATTTAATAGGATTAAAAATTGATTGATAAATTATAGAAATATGAAATAAGATTTCCTCAATTAGTAGAAGAAATAGAGAGACTTAATAAAATATTGACAGAAAGAAATGAAGAAATATTGATTTATAAAAAGAATTCTTTTTAATCTGATTAAGTATTGGAGAAAGTAAATGCATATGAAGGAGAAATAGAGAGATTAAGATAGACAATATTATTAAAATAATAAACAATAGATTCATTATAATAATAGAAAGAGAATCCTGGTGTTTAAGATTTAATTTTTAAATTACAAGATGAAAATAGAAGATTAACAAATTTAGTGAGTGTTAGGAATAATGAGATTGCTGAACTTAAATTTAAATTATCAGAATATGAATAGAAATAAAAATTATTAAGTGAATCTAATTCTGGAAAATATGAATTATAGAATATGATATTAAATTAGGAAATTGATTAATTGAATTAGAAATTGTTAGATGCAAAGAATGAAATAAGTTTATTAAAATTAACAAAAAATGATAAATTTAATGAAGAAAGAGTAATAGATTTATATAAATTATAATTAGGGGAAAGTATTAACATAAGAATTAGAGAAATAAATAAGGATTAATAAGGAGAATGAAAAAGAATTATTGAGTTTAAGATCAAAATTTGCAGAAGTTGTAGATGCTGAAAGAAAATTAATTGATTGTAAATGTCTATTAGTTTTATTGTATAATGAATTAGAAAGACTGAATTAAGAAAAATAAAATGATAATTTGTTATTTTGAATTTATATTTATTTAATTAACAGCTATGGAAAATAATAGATTTTATTCAAATCAATCATGTTAAAGAGAATTAGAGTAATAACTTAAAGATTCATTTTTAGAAATTAAACTCTTAAAATAAGAGAATAAATATTTGTAATTGATTGATTTAATTATTATATAGATCATCTACTTTTGATGAATTTAAATTAAAATAAGAAGAAACTAGAAAATTATAATCTTTAGTAGTTGAATTAGAATAAAGAGTATTATCTTTAGAAGAAGATAATGCTAAATTGGAAGCTGAAATAGGATATCTGTAAAAATATCAAATAATATTTATTAGAAGAGGATTTTCATAAAGCAAAGAAATATAAGTGAATTAAAAAGCTAGTTATGCATAATTAGAATAAGAATTATAAGATTTATAGATATATTTAAGAAAATTTATATAGTTATAAGAATTGTAAGTTATTTAAAATATTTTTTATAGTTTGATTGAACAAGTACCTAATATTAATTTATAATTATGTTGGAAAGAAATTAATTAGATATTTAAAAATTAATTTAATACTAATTAATAAATTTAGAATTTGTAAGATGAATTAAAATTAATTGAGACCACATATAAAGAACTTGTTCATTCTAAAGATAATAATTTGACATCTTTATAAGAAATGGCTAAATGTATAAATAAATTATATATAATTTAGAATAAAGTATTAGAGAATCAAGAGTAGAAATAGAAAGAATAAGAAAAGAAGTATAATTAAAATAGATGGATGTAAAGTAATCAGAAACTAAATTAAGTGATTTATAAAATGAATTTACTTATATTAGTAAAATAGAAACAAGAAAAAACAATGTTTAATTAGAAGCTGAAAAATAATTAATTGAATTTAGAAGAGGTATTTCTACTACTAAAAATTCTAATCATAATGTATCATTATTAAGAGACACATTCAAAGAAAGAGATACTTATAAAGAAATGATACCTGAAAGATTAAGAGATTAATCAGATGTACTTCCAGTTACTTCTTCAATAAAGAGATTGAATAGACCTTATATTGAAATAAATGATAGATTTGATGATTATCAAGAGGCAACCAAAACTCCAATAGAAAAAACTATTGATTAAACTAGAAAGAAATTAAGTCGACAATTAAGTTAAGCAAGTAGTCTTCGTGATTAAAAATATATTTGATCATTATAATCTTATAATTCATGAAGGAAGTTTTTATAGATATAACCATAACGACATAGGATTAAAAGCTAAATTCTATTAAATTTATTGTTATTGCAGTTGTTATGATTACAAATACTACTATGATTATTCTTAGGTTGGTAGTCTCAATTAAACATTATTGGAAATAGAGAATTATTATTCCATTTTTATTTGATTCTAAGTGATTACATACAAATGCATACACTTTCTTGTTCAGGCATCGAATTTGAACTTTGATTAGGAAGACTACCTGAAATATGAATAATTTTTCTTATTCTCTCAGGATTAACCAATTATTCAGATTCTTTAAGTTCTTTTTTCTTCTTTTTCTCTGGTATTTTTGCATTATATTCTTCCTCTAATTATTCTTAATCAATTTAATCATCTTCCCTTTTATATTTCAATAAAGAATTATAAATTCTATGATAAGCTTCCTAAATATCATCCTATATATGTATAGTAATAATAATTACTAAATTTTAAATTTATGTAAATCCTTTAGGTACATCATTAATATCCATTATGACTTAAACACAATCATTATTAAGAGGATCAAGAAATTCTTAAATTTTCTTCATATTTTATTGAGATTTGGTTTCATTATTTTTACAATCAATATATAAAATGATTAATTTTTATTCTATCTTTTGAATTCCTTATAATGCATTGCTAGTAGAAAGAACATGTTATAATGTTTAGATTAAATTTTCTGGCTATTTTATATATTGATATAATAATATACTTCTGTAAATTTGATTTTTGCAGAATTTACATACAACGAGATGCAAGCACTGAATTTGAGAAGCAAGAAAATGGGATGCTTAACTTTATGCCGAATATTAGGAGCAGTGAAATAATTTATGAGTCCATCAATAGAATTTTTTATTACTTCAGAATTTTAAGGTTTAATTATTAAAAATTATTTCTCCAAATTATTTGGCAAAAATGGATCGAAATATGATTGTAATTTTTAAATCTTTTTAATAGTTTATTCAATTTTACCTTCTGTTTAAAAATATCTCTGGCAGATTTACGTGAATCTACAAAAATTGGAGGGGATATACGAGAATCTAAAATCTAAGGAAATTCAAACTTATTCTGACATAAATACAATGTAATCACTATATGAAATCGTTAATGCTGATCCTATTTTTATACTTTATTACATCATGATTATAAGAAGTAGTATTAAACTTAAGTCCAGAGAAGATACATTTCCCATTCTCCATATCCACTTTAAGATTTCCTTTGGCTCCTACTTCCAAAAGATGATGTGTTTTCATTGGAGTTATTATAGGTTTAACAATTTAGAGTTTACACTTGCTATAATTTTTATAGATACATATATATTGTTTGGAGGGGCAAGACGCTCATTTGTCAAGGGGTCTGTAATCTATTTTATGTTATAACATATAAAAAATATACTTCCATTTCCAAACCAATATCTGGAAGATTCCAACTCTTATGCCAATTCCAACCTAAATTGTCTGTATATATAAATGGTCTGCTCTGATCAATCTTGATATTAATGAGTGGATCTATGGTCCCATTCTCTGCAGGAATCTTAAGTGAAATTTATGGACTCAAATTCCAAGATGTTTGAGTATCTTTTACAATTCGCTTTACATCATAATTACATGGAACCCATTCCCAAATGTTCTTATCTTGTTCTTATTTGATCATTTATTTTTTATAATTTTTTTTTTACAAGAATTATCAAATACTTTTGTGCTTATATTTAATTATAATCTATAAAGGACATTAATATTTATATTATAGAATATAATGGAAAGGTACTATAATTATTGATAATTTTGATAGATAGCTTATTTAAACAAGTGGACAATTATTATTAGTTAATTTTTTGAGTTCCCATCCTAATGCTAATTTAACTACAATTTTAGATTTTATTGTTTAAGATGGATTTAATGAATAAAATAATAAGTTATTCATAGAATAGTATATATTCCATTTAATATTTTAGTGTTATACAAAGTTATTAAACATTTTGGGAAATGCTATTAATCATTAATTTTGATGAAACATCATAAAACTCTAAGTATCATTTAAATTATTATTTTAAGTTATCCTTTCATTGTTACAGAAATGGTTAAAAATAAACCAGAATAGATCTTTGATTTTCTCTTTCAATTTAATCAAATTGAATTAGATGATTCTATGACTTTTTTATTCTAAACTATTGATAGAGACTGTTTAGATGAGACTAATGCTGGTTATTTTTCAAAATTCATTTGTAGTCTTATAAAAATTAGAGGTTCAGATGTATTTCTATTAAAATTATAATAGCTTTGGAGTTATTTATAAATTAATGGAAAATATATTTATGAAGATCTAATTAAAAATATTAATATCAATCATATTGCTGATATTATTTATAATTTAATAGCATTAATCAATAATAAGGGCAATCTAGCATCTAATTATAATTAAGACAGAATTTGTTTATTAAATAGAACTATTGATATTCTATTAAATAAATATTATGATTCATAAATAGTTGAAAATGTAAGTAATATACTTATAGATTTATTAAAAAATGTAACAGAATAGGATTTCAAATAATTGATTCTTGAAAAAATTTGTATTCCTAACTCTTACTTTGATTTAATTGTAATAATAATAATAATATATTTAGTTATAAACAAAGTCAAGTTTGTTGGTTGATCTTTTAATTTAGTTACTCTATGAAATCTAATAATTTACAATTGTCACTCAATAGATATAACCTGATTTTGAATTTAACTATTAATAATTTTAATATATAGGTTAAAGATTTGGCTCAGCACTTACTATGGAAATGAATATAAGTATTTATTTAAATAAATAATAAGATAACTTTATTAGTACATATGGAGTTTCATAAGAAATATTGGGATATACAAAATTAAAATTAATAGAATTCTATTATAAAATTCTCTAAAGCAATAATTTGACTCTTATTAATTATTTTAATCATTAGCAGATTTTTTAAATACTAATAGATTTTATCTAAAGATTTGAATTCAACAATTAACTTTAAAATTATTTTATGGAAATTACTCTTTTCATCTTTTGCAATCAAAATTTAGGATTTATATAATAAATTATTATTGATTCAAATTTACTTGGATTTTTATATTTCCTAAATAAAGAGTATCTTAAACAAGTTGGTTCAATAAAAAAACCTATTACAAAAGGCTATTAGGGAATTGTTAATAAATTGTCATACTTTTTCAGAGAAATTAACTATAATGATGAATGGAATCAGTATATTGAAAATCATCAAAAAATATTCAATATTGAAAATAATTATTTATATGGTATTCCTCCTGGATAAGAATAAGAAAATTAATAAGAAAATATAATGTATTATTTTAATATAATATATATAGGAAACCATAATAAGAGGAGAAGTAAGAAGAATCTCCTGAAATTGAAATGGAAACAAATTTACATATTTAATTAAATAAGGATCAAGGTATAAATATTAACTATTTTTATAGTTAAATAAGCTGTTGTTTTTGCAGAAAATAATTTTTAAGATTAATCTAATTTTGGAGAAGTTCTTGGAGAGTAGATTCTCCATTAAATAGCCAAAAAATAAAAAATGTAAATTTCAAAAAGTGGATCATTTGATATTAATACAAAATTTGATTTTAGCACAAGATTTTGGAGGAGATCTTCTTTTTAAAAAGACAAATACCATATGAAAAGGAGATCTTTATCTTAAGAAAAAGTTAAATAAGTTGAATAGGTTGAAGAAATTAAATTTACTTAAAGTGTAATATTTTAAAGATAAGATTAAACAGATATAACTCAAAATATTGATAATTGATTATTATAAAATATTTATTCTAAAAATTGATAATTTATAATGTAAATGATAATTTAAGAAATAATCAATATATATTATAAAACCATTAAAGTATATTAGTCTTAAATTATCCCAATATACAATTAATTATAAATAAAAATGTATATTCGTTTCTCTCATATTATTAGAACATGATTTCTTTATTTAAATAATTCTTCACAAAGAAACCATTTTTATGCATCCATTTAATTATTGTTAAAGCAAATCTATCAGCAAATGTATTATTTTATTCTTGACATTCTAAAGAACTCATTGCTTTATTAATCATTTCTTATTTAGAATTGGAATATTAATTTAATCTTTGAGATAACTAATATAATTGTGTACGCACTGATATATCACTTAGTTCTTGATTATCATTCATAAAATAATAAAGTAAGAATTGTATTACTTGGAATGGATTTCCACAATTATCTTACAATATTCTAAATAACAAATATTCTTTCCATCTGAAGATACCACTCTTAGATTACTATTTTATAGCTTACATCTACATTAACTCCAAGAGCTCTATATATCTTAAGTAATTCATTTTAACAATGTCCACTCAGGATGTCATTATAAATAACAAAATATTTCATAGGAATTCCATTATGATTTATATTTAACATACATAATGATTTATAATCTATATAGTATTTATAAATTTGATAGTTATCTAATTTAGGATTACTTTATTTTATTGAATTAATCATTTCTAAGGTTAAATGATCAATTTATGTATCTTAATCATTTTCTTATTCTTATAATGGTTATATGATTTTAAATTTTGGATTAATATTTTAGACTACTAATTTTGGTAATTATATATCATATTCTTTTTAATATTCAACTAATTATTGAATTTATTTAATTTATTTTAAATTTTATTTAATTAATTCTTATCTTTTAGAACTACTATCTCCATAAACTATTACATCTTATTTACAACATTATAATATCATTTACTATTTAAAATTCTATAATTATTTGATTCTCTTGCTTATTCTAATACTTTCCTTTATCTTTGGTAATTATTTAATTAGTATCTCTTTTGATTCTGCACATACTAAAGTTGGTGGATTCCAACCCAATTAACAAGCATTCTAAATTTCTATACCATCAAAAAAGGAAATAATTTTTATTGGTTTCTTAATCATCTTAGCTAATTGAAATTTTAAATCATTAATCACTTAAATAGCTAATTCTTTTGATGGTACAAAAAAATAATCAAACATTTTTTATATCTATTAATATAATAAATTTATACTTAAAATTCTTCTCCACTTATTTTAAGTTGATGAAAAAAATTAATCAATTATTAAACATCTTTTAGTTTTGTGAATTGATCTCCTTAGAATCTACTCTAAGGAAAAGAATATGATTATGAATAAGGTAAAAAAAGTGCATATGTCTATTCATTCAATAAATTAGGAATACAATTCTTTGTAAAAGACTCTAATATCTATTTAAAATTAAATTTAAGATAGTCATTTAGTCCATTTTCATCTACATAAAATAAATAAACATATTTTCTAATCTTTAGACATTGAGTTTTATTTGATTTTCCACAATCTACACTTAAACTTACTAAACTATTTCTTAAACTTTTTGCTGGTTTCTCCATTACTGAACTAGTCCTAGTGTGAACTATAGATCTTTCAGTTTGAAACTCTCTCTTGATGTAATTATAATTCAAATAAACTTTCTTTGGTTTTATATGTTGATTATACATATAATAAATTAAAATAATTAATACAATTCATCTTTATATTATAATTTATTCTATGATAATATGAACACATTTATAATATCTAATATATAATACTAAATTCTTTAATTGATATATTTAGTAAATTTATATTTTTTTATTTAAAAATACAACATTCTAAATCAAAAATATTATAAATTAAATATATATTGAATTCATTAAATTTTATAATGTCCAAAAAGTATTCTAAATCTACTTGTTATCATCATATTTAAAAATGAAAAGATTTTATTGTTATCTTTAAAAATAAGAAATTGCCAACTCTATTGAAATTTAAATACTTTTACTTTTCTACAATCAATTATTTCATATATATATATATCTGAAATTGAATTAATCTATAAATATCTAATGAATATTTTAAAAAATCTTGATTTATTTGGAGTACCTTTGTATAAGGAATTGATCATAGTGAATCAAAATACAAGAGCATCTTTGGAGGAATTTTATCTTTAGTTACTATATTAGCAAGTTTGGCTTATGCTATTTGGATTTTTTATTTGTGGCAAACCAAATAAATGAATCCTAAAATATCTAATTCCAAATATGTTTCTGATTACTCATCCCTTGATCTTAATAAAGACTTCATTAGATTATATTATTGGTAGTATGATGAAAATCTAATAGATCCATTTTAAGCTAAAATTCTCTTGCCTCTTGTTATATACAACAGATAAAATTAATTAACATCACCTTAAGTAATAAATACTACTTCAGTTACAAGTTATGGAAATACATATATACCAAAAATAGAGTTAGGTTTTACAAAAATCGATGGAGAAATATATACTTCAGAAGAAATGTATATATAAATAGTAATGTGCTCTGAAATTTATTTATAACCTGATGAAAAGTGTGCATCTCCTGATTTAACTGAACAATTTTTCAAATAATCTTCTAATTTAGTTGTGATGCAAATATATTCAACAACCTTAGATTCTCGGGATGGATCAGAATAAATTGGATTACAAGAATTCTATATTTAGATAGAATAATAATTCTGTTATACTATGAATACATTTCTTGAAACCAATTTATATGAACTTTAAGATTACTTTCTATTTGGAACATCAAAATATAAAGAATATATTTCTGGAGCTGTTGTACAGACTTAAACAAGTTCTTCTGAATATTGTTATAAGACTTTTAATAATAATGCTATCTCTCTAGTATATATAGGAATGAATGGAAATTAAATGAAAACTATTTTTGAATATCCTCGTGCAGGTGATATTTTTGCAAATATTGGATCTATTGTGTCTTTATTATTTATGATTAAGTACATAATTATTATTCTGAATTAATATGCTTTAAATTAAAAGATAATAACAGAACTTATATATTTTTATTATCCAGAGTTTAAAAATATTTGTATTACTAAAAATTGGAGATACAATATAACAATGGTTAAAATAAATTAAAAAGAAGTAGACATTAAAGAATATATGAAATTTTATAATAAAGTTTAATAGTAAATGCAATAAAAATTATGTTATTTAAATTTATTGTTTGAAATATCTAGATTATATTTTATCATTAGATCATTCAAATATAGAGAAGAACTTTATAAATCTCATAGTGTTGGAATAAAAATGAATTTAAATTTGAATAAGGAATTCGATTTTATAGACAATTATAATTCAATTAGTTCAGCAAAATCAAATCTCTAAAGTATTGTATTAAATGAAGATGATGCTGATTTAATATCATTAACAAGGAGAAGACCATAAAATAATTTTGATTGTATTCCAGAAGAAATAATTAATGAAAATGATTTTTATAATACCAATAAAATAGTTTGATTTTTTTTATTATTTAATTTTCAATAAATTAACTTATATTGAAGATAATTAAAATAAGGTTAGATTTAAAAAGTGAAAAAATAAAATAAATATTTAACAAATTTTTTAACTTTAACTTAAACAATCTAATTTATTACTCTTCTTACTTAATAAATGTTACTTTGTTTTTAACATATAATAATTTAGTATATATATAATAACATTTACATATATATTAATATATTTTCTTTCTTTTTTTATCAGAATTATTTCCCCATCTTTAATATTATAATTTAAATGAATAAATTAAATTAATTTAATTTAATTAAAGAAATATAATCCATTAATAATACAAATAATGAAAAATAGATAATTTATAATTTTTCAATCATTTAAACCTCTGTAATGCATTTCTATGTTAGGATAATTAGTTGCTTCGAATTTCATTCTAAGATTATTTTATAATATATACTTTTCTTCATTTTTTTTCTTTCTATAATAATTTATCAATATAAATAGAAGTCCAAATATGATTATAAAACCAAAAGTATATTTAAAGTATCTTTTCCATCTCAATTATTTTATGTATTCATTATTAAAAATGATAGGTTTATAGAATTTTTCTAAATGAATTGTTTCTTAATTTCTTAATTATAGAATAGCTAGAAAATATAGAATATAATCTTACAATCAGTATAGACATTAAATTATATCATTTAAGCATCAACAAGTTTACTTTCATCTAATTGTTAAATTAATGAAAAAGTCAAATCATTTTGATTTGATAGATCTTAATATTATATTTCATACTTATAAGTATCAAAACAATAATCAAATGTTTATGATTAACCTTCCTCAATAAATTAATAAACTAATATGTATGCAACCTATAAAACATCAAATTTTGGATTATTTTTGATTTATAATTTTGAACCAGTGACTTTAAGATAATAATTATCATCTTTTTTTTCAAGCTCCCATATCAAATTTCCATCATTTCCAGGTTAAATATCATTAATTGGAATATAAGAATCCTATTTTAAAAGTTGAGCAGTTATAGTAAATGGAGTTGATGAATCTGATTAAGAATTAATTGCACTTGTAACTAAATAATAATAACCAGATTTTTTGACTTCAATAACTTCTATTAAACTATCAGTAACTTAATATTATTTAGTATATTATCCATTTCTTAATAGATCAATATCAGTGGAACCGAATAAATTTAATGGTGATCCACATTACTGTACTTATAATAATAATTTTCCTTCAGATGGACAAAAGTATTCCCAATATTTTGGTTATTATTTTAATATACTAATACTTTTTTAACCAGGAACCAATATATTGAGAAAACTATTACTAAAGATCAAATTAAAATCAATAGATAACTAATCATTTTTATTATAAATTTCTATTTCATAATCTCCTGCATGATCCTTAAATTCTGCATAATAATAATAAGAAATTTAAGCTTCTTTAATTGGATATAGTTGATGAGATTTTTGTTCTTAATTAATGTATTTTACATAAACTTTAGGAACTTCTTTTTTATATTTATCATATTCATATTTTTGATAAGTATTGAATAACATAGTAATTAAAATAGAAAAAGTATTTTCATCACTCTTATATACACTATTGTAAATGAATTTTTCTGATTATTTTGGATGTAATAAAATATTATAGATTTCACCAACATTTATAAATTTAGTTCCTTAAACATCTCTACATTATATCTTATAAGTAGCACTTTTATCAAAAGTAGAGATAGTGATATTAAATAGATTTGAAAATTCAGATTTAACTTTCATTAATTCCTCAATATAACCTTAAGAAGTTGTTTCCTTGCTCACAGTTTTTTATATGGGTTCTTTTGAAGAGTCAACACTATATTCAACTTAAACTTTTCCATCTAATACTTCTACTTTCAAAACAGTATCATAAGGACTGTAATAACTGTATTATTATTTTTCTTTTGGATCAAGTTAATTTATCATTATTACATCTTTTGCTAAATAGACTTTTGTTGAATTAACTTGAATAGCTATTATAATATCTGAATCTTATTCTGATTTAACTGCTATAAGATATTTATGTTTCTCTTTTGGTGTAAATTTCATTTATTTCTTATATCCTTTCCCATCATTGTTAAATTGGAAAGTATCTATTTATTTAATAAAGGAATCTGATTCTTTTGAATCATCTACCAATTCATCTACAAAATATTCAGCAGTTCCACTAGTAATTTAGAATAATATTTTGAAATCTTCTACAATATATTATTAATATTTAAAATAAGCTATTTCACCTTACTTAAGAACTATATTGTGTGGAATACCTTATTAAATTTAATAATAATGAAATTTTCCAGTTTGATATACTATAGTATAAGAACATGTAGAATATCCAATAACACCAATAAAATAGACTCCAGGCATATCAGGATATTTGGGATTACCACTTTCAATAACTAATTAATCACCCAAATAATCTTTTGATGCCCAATCATATTAATCATTATCTGGATATTTATCCTTACTGACAACAATATTAACATCACAAGATGACATTGGAGTAAGTACAATCATAAGATTTATATCATCATCATAAACAAAAGCTTTATAGTATTTAATAACATCTTTTTCAATAGATCCATAATAAGCTATTGATTCAGGCAATGAAATAGCTCCAGATGAATATTAAATAGAATAAGTCTACTCTTTAGTTGGATAATATTCTAAATCTTCTGCTTTCATAACTGTGATAGCTAATACACAAGAAGATTAACAAAATTATAAGGAATCTGGATGAAGAGTCAATTAACTATGAGGTAATCCAATAATTGTTTTTGAAGTAGAAATGAAATTTTTAGATTCTGTATTTATAGGATAATCATAGATTCCTTTATTTGGATATTGATAAGTATCAAATACAGAAACTAAGATTTATAATGGTTATGGATATCCAAAATTAACAACATTCAAAACAACATCATATCCTTATTAATAAAATAAATAATAATGATGAAATGATGCAGGTAAATTCTAAGTTACAGGTTCATCTACAGTTAATTAAATTTAAGAGTTATCTTTGGATATTAGTAATGAATAGAAGGTATTAATAGAACTTGTGACTTAGATTTAAACTTAACAGTAAAAGATTTCTGTAATTGAAGTTTTACATCTATCAAGAGGCATATTAGATGCACTCAATATCATTGTTCCTGTTATTAATTAATGTTGATTATTTCCAACAAATGCAGTTACTACTAATTAATCATCTTTAGAAGAATGAGCTTTCTTAGTAAGTTAAATATCTTCATTTTTAAAAAAAGTATAATAGAAATATTAATAATCACCTGCTTCTATCCAAGTATAAAAATTCTCATTCAAAACTAACATATTGTTTTTCCATCCTATTCTATAAATAATTCTAAATTAAACTTAACTAAAAGGTTCAGAGGGTTCTACTCTCAAATAAATTACTTCAGGATAATCTTCTTCTATAAATTAGATTTCAATTTCCTCTTAACTTTTCCATCTTGATTCAGATATATTAGATGATGGATGATCAAAACCATACATTACTAATTCACCTGATTCATGCAAGATTTCAACTTTCAAATTTTCATGATATATTTATTTGCTTACATCTTTACTTATAAAATTTATAAGATCAATTTTATATAAACCAACTTCTCCACTAAAAAGAGTGAAATCCTAAGGACTTCCCTCATATAATAAAACATATTGCCAAGCAAATTAACCTTTTTTACGAAAATCATCACCTTCCCTAATTACAACAACTGTGATTGTATACAATCCTGCAGTTTCTCCAAATACTGAAATATAATAGATTCCCTATTCAATTTTTTCATTCTACCCACCATAACGTATAATATAATTGATTCCTTATTTTTCAAAACTTGTTTTATTTGGTCTCTTATTTGTTGTTGATGAATAGATCTAAAAACTTCCTTAAATTGGTGTTAAAAGAATTGATATTCTATTTATATTTTGAGTATCACCAATATTAAATTTAAAATAATTATAATTATACCTTTCTACCATTGATTTATGAGGTGTATTTTCCCTTAATTTTATATGTGAGGATTGAGTAGATATCAAAATAGAATAATAACATCGATTATATTACATATTTGTGTTACTTGGATATATAGCTAATACATAAGTACAACTATAAAAATCACCAAAAGCTTTACAAACATCAGGATCATAATTAAACACCAATAATTAATTATTTTTTGTTGAATTAGTGTAAATAAATAAATCTATTGAATTTTCTGAATATTTCTCTTCTAAATGATTTAAATCATCTTAGATTATTTTGCATTCATCTTCATAACATCTTTTAAGAACTAAAGCACATTCTTCTTCATAATTTGTCAATTCTATTATAACTGGCTTAGTTTTATTTCCTGTCAATACAAACCAATAATTAATCATTTCATTATTTTCAATATTACCTTCATATGGAACATTAATGCTAATATATTGAAATTCAAAATCTTAAATTCCAGTTTCCAATTCATATGTACACATTTCATTTCCAAATACTGCTATATATAAATATTTCTCATTTCCACCTTAATTTTTGAATTGAGACTTTTCTAATATTAAAACCTATTGAGTCATTCTTTCAAAATGAAATTTATATTATTCTAATAGAACTGGTTAATAATCAGGATTTGCATATAAAGTAGCATGTCCAACAAATGGAGTTAATTTTACAAACTAAATCTATCATTAAAATTTACCCATTTTATTTTCCTCTCACTTTCATTCATATCATTATAATTATTATCTTGAATCTTTACTTTAAAAATTCTAGCATTACCAACTTCCACTATACCATTATATACTTCTTAAAATTTTAATTCTCTCAATATTCCAGAAGTATGAGTCTTAATCTAAAATATTGCTCCAGCTTAACCAGCTATTAATAGAGTTAATATAGATTATTATGGTAACTCTTATATTGATAGAGATATTAATTTAGATCCACTCCATGAATCTTTTGCTATAAATTAATATTAATTTGAAGATGGTGCAATAGTTCCTAAATTTAAATAAACTTAGAATTCAGATTCAAATTCATAAATATTTAATGCCTTTACTTCTATTTCTAGTTCCACTTCAGATTTACTATAATCACCAACATTAATCCTTATAATCTCACTTTGTTAATTATCAGTTAATTTAAATTAAGTAAAATCATCTAATTATTATAAATATCTCTTATTTACTTTTTTCTAATGTGTATTCTTCATCATAATCCACTCTTAAATCATATCTACAATTCCCAGTACAAATTACTGATATGTAATAAGGAATACCACTCATCAATTTAGATTTATCAATAATACACAAATCTTATTGAATATAGAATATATTTACCATTTCCTTTTGATGTACATGAAGCTATTTCTCCTTCTTATTCATTGCTGGCATATTTATTTTCTTTTGATATAAAAATGTTTGGATCTCCTCCTGGATTTATTGCCTTTACCATAACTACAATATCTGAATCACTTTTAATTTCTGACAAAATTAGCTCATAATAGTCTCCATTCTAATTTAGCCACTTCGCTTAAGTACTTATCAATCAATTATTGTTTTACCCTTCAACTCTATGACCAATAGTTAATCTTTTAATTTCTTAACTCAAAACTACATTTAAGAAAATCAATAATGAGAACATGTTCGTAATTAAAATTATTAATTATCATAAATCAATATTTTTCAATTATCATTTCTATTAAATATTATTATTCTTTTCTAATCCGTTCTTTCTAATTTAAATCATTTTCCAAAAAATAATTTATATAGTTATCCTAATATTTGTTTTTTTTACAATAATATTTGATACTTTTGTTGATATATATAAAAATCTATCTGATTCAATTATTACCATTTATTGAGAGTACTTATTATATGAAATGAATATAATAATATAAAATAAAAAATGTTAGGTATCTTTTATAAATATGTATTAAAATTATCTTTTTTATTGATTTTTCTAAAGAATCTATTTATATTATGAATTAAATTCTTAGAATAATAGTTTATAATATAGAAAGTGAATTAATGCAAATCAAATATATAAAAATTACTAGAATTATTATTCATATTTTTTCAAATTTAGTAGTTTCTTTAATTTATTCTGCAATTTCAAGCAATTATTTTCTTATTACAGCTTTACAATTCAAATCATTTTCTTTTTAAGCTTATCTAATTAAATTTTCATATTTTTCATTAAGTCCTTTAAGTTTAGTTTCAATTTCAAATTAACGAGTAGTTGATAAAGGTGAAAGTAATGGTTATTTTTTGTTTTCAGATTTTCTATCAGGACTGCAAAAATTAAAATTTTATGTAGTTTTCATATCTTCTAAACATTCTCTTATAGCTTATTTTAATTAACTTTATCTTAAACTATTTTCTATTCTTGGACTAGTTAATGGAGGTGACATTTGATCAATATTCAATTTTGTAACTGTTTTCTGTTCCTTATATCCTTATTTTAGTTCAGTTTCACCTTAACTAAGTTTTCTATTTATATATCTATGTTATCTTTCTTCATAATCTAATTTAATTTTGACTTATTAATATTTAAGACTTAAATCTTTATAATCTTGAGTTAATTATTCAATAAGTTATTAGTATTCATTACATTTTCCAATTAAATCTTAAATTCTTCTACTCATTTATTCTTCTCTTATACTTTTATTACTTTCTATATCATCAATGCTTCTAGAGTATTATTTATCTTTTTCATCTAATTAAATTTTTAAAGCATGAATTTATTTTTCAAAATCATTCATTTTCATAGGTGGATATTTAGATTTATAATTATTATATTCTTATAGTACTTACTCTTTTTCCATTTCTAAGAATTCTATTTTCTTTTCTTATTTTTTTATTTGTTAATCTTTTAAATCTAGTTTTATTTTAAGATCTTAAACATTTGTTAAAAGAGCAGCATTTTCTTCAAATTTTTTAAGTTCTACTTTATGAAGAAATCCTTTTTCATTAGATTTATATGCTTATAATTATCTTTATAAACTATCATACGCCATTTGAATTTCATGTTTTTCATGTTTCAATTCTTCATTTTTTCTAATTAAATCACTTACTCTATCCTAATAATCTTTGAGATGTTGTAATCTTTCAGCTTATAAAACTTCAATTTATTGTGATGCTACAAAATTCATCTAACTCTCTTGATTACTTTTCATTAATAAGTATTATAATCTTTCATTCTCATTTTATAGATCATATATTTGTTTTTTCAATTAGTCAATTAAATTATCAGAAGGGATTTCTATGGATTTTCTTAATCCTTCAACTCCCTTTAATTTCTCTTACAAAGCTTTGAGTGCTGAAGCATATGCATTCTAAGGAGCAGAAGTAGGATTAGAAGAAAATGCCCTATGAGATGTTCGAGATTCTCTTTCATTCATTTTGTTGGTTGAGGATATGAATAAATTTATTTATTATATGAAAATATCATACTTTCTTAATTTATTTTCTACTCGCTTCTATTACTTATTCCGATGATTAAGAATATTCAAAATACTTATCTATCATTTGTTTATGACATAAATCTAGTATTATTGATTAATAACTAAAATTGAAATCTAAATCATTATTAAATTAAGTGTCTTGATTTGTAATACTTTTGAATCTTATTTTGTTTATGAGATCATATAAGAAATTACAAATATTTGGTTTGATTTAAAATTGTTTACTTTTGAGAAATGAAACGATTAGTTTTAAATTCACTTTAAAAATTCCATAATTTATTTATAATATAGATAAAAGAAAATAAAGAGAAGGATACAAAATAATTAATTTATAGTAAAATATTGATATGATAGATATAATATAATTTATGTGAATTATAAGTAATTATTTACTTTATATTCTTTATTTATAGGTATTAGAATATTATTATTTTTAATTTATAGATATTTCAATTTTATAATACTTAATAATTATATAGTTCAATTATAAATTAAGATATATATTTGGTTTTTAAGAATGAATATTATTTAAATAATTATATGATAAAATTAGTCACTTATTTTAATCTTATTTGCTGTTAATAATCATTATAAATTATAATAAAATATAATTATCAATATATTTTTAGTTAAAATTAGTTTATTATTATATAGAATTTTTGAATAACAATTTTGGATGGTTTTGTTTTTATTTAATATAGTTTTATAAATTTATTATAAATCGTAATTAAATGTAAAAATTAACTCTCGAGAAACAAATTAATCATTTAGAAAGAGAAATTTAATAGAAATAATATAAGGTTGAAGAATTGACAAAGTAATTATTGTTCAATTTTTAGGATTGTTGATCAATAATCAAACTTTGTTTAATAAACTAAAACACAAATTAAGAATTTATAGGATACACAAAATAGTTTGTAATCATAATTATTTGATATCAAATAAGAAAGAGATACTTTCAAATGTTTAAATGAAATAAAGGAAAAATAAATAAAAAGTTTATAAGAATAAGTTTTAATAAAAAATCATGTTGCAGATGTAATAAATATATAATATAATATAGACATAATAATTGAAACATGAATTATAAGAATAATACAATTAAGTTTTTGAGTTATAGATTGAATTGAAAACAACAAAAAATTAATTGGAACACTTAGAATTAGAACGACAAAATTTAATGAATGAGTTAAAAATCAAGACAGCTAGTTAAGTAGTCTATATTCAAAATGATTTTAATAATTAACCCTTACAAAATTATGATCAATATCTTGATAAATTTGATGAAGAACGAAAATAATATTTGAGACAAATTCATTAATATTAGATACATGAAGATAAGATAAGTATGAAAGAAATATAATATTAGAAATTGAAAATTAAAAGAGATTAGATAAATTATAATCCATAATTAATAATAATGAGGAGGAGAAAAGAAATTTGTAGGAAGAATTGTTGTACTTAAAATAGATGATAGAGATGTATAAAAATTAAGCTTAAGAGGAATTTACTAATTAAAGAAAATATGAAGAATAAAAATTATAAAATGAAAGAGAAATGAAAGTCATTATACACAAAAAGGACAAATTGATATCTGATCAAAAAATTGAAATATAAAAATTGCATTAACGTATTAATAACTCTCCTTAAATGAGTCTTTAGACCATAAATGATATGTACAATGTTAATGTAGATGATTTAATAGATTTGAAAATGAAAATTATGAAATAAGAAAATACTATTAAGTAACTTCAAAATTAGATTGCTAAGGAGTAATTAGAAAAAAAGAATATTTAAGAATAAACACAGAAAGAATTGTCAATTGCTTCTGAAAAGGAATAGGAATGTTTATAATAAATAGCATTTGTAGAATAATAGAGATAAAAATTAGATATTGAAATTTAATAAAATAAATAATTAAAAGAAGACATATTTAAACTCTAGGCAGAATTAACTTAATTAAAGAAAAAAGATTAAATATAAAAAAATGAAATAGATAGATTAAGATAAGAAAATCTAAATAATCAAACTTATATAGTTAACTCTTAAAGTAAAGATAATTAATCATCAATTAATTAATAGATTATGCTTAATTATGAATTTATTAAAAGTCCTAATATCAAATAATTTGAGAAATTGACATAAGATAATCTAAACTTAAAATAAATTATAAATAAAAAAGATGAAGAAATTATCATTTTACAATAGAAAATTACTAATTAAAATTTAGATAATGAATAGGATGAATTTCAGAAGAATTCGACTATAACTATAGCAAAGAAAATTGAAAGTAAATTATTTTATATATATTTTGTATAGAAATTAAAAGTTATTCATAAAAATAATCTTAAATGTTGGCTGATTATAGAAAATTGAAATTAGAAAAAAATAAATATGAATTTTAAATTGAAGAATTTAAATATGAAATTTAAAAATTAAGAAATTTGATTTAATAAGAAAGAGCATAAAAAGAATTTATGGAAAAGAATTTAAATAAATACAAAGAAGAATTTTCAATATTGGAAGGATAAAATAAGAAATAAAAGAAAGATTTTGAAAATAAAATAAAATAAATTTAATAAGAAATGGAATCAAAATTTGTTTCAAAAGAATAAATTAATTATTATTAATAAAATTAAGAATTACTTAAGTAAAAGTAATAAGATAAATAATTAATATAAGAATTGAAAGAGAAAATTACAAATCTAAATTTAGATTCTCAAAAATATAGAGAAGAACTATTTTTGAAAGATAATTAGATTCAAAAACTTTAAATTGCAACTGATAACGAAGAAAATTAAAATGTTCTTTAAATGAAATTGTAAATAGAAAATGATAAAATTATAATATAAACATTAAATGAAAGAATAATTAATTTAAATCAAGAAATAGAGAGTAAAGAAAAATAATTATTAACTTTTTAATAAGATTAAGTCAATTTGGAATCCTTATAATAATTTTCTAAATAAATTGAATATGAAAATAGAACTAATTTAAATAATTAGGAAGATATTAATGATTTGAAAAATAATATAAGAATATTAAATAAAAAAATATCAGAATAAACATAATAATATTAATAAGCCATAACAGAGTTTGGGAAGGAATTTTAATAGAGCATTATGCTATTAAATGATGAAATCAAATAATTAGAATAAGAAAATTAAGATTTAGCTAAAGTTATGGAATAATATAAATAACTATATTAAAAAGAAAAAATAGAAAACCAAAATAAATTAAATTTAACTTCTGCTGAAATTTAGTAAATAAAAATAAGTTTGGAGTAAGTTACTAAAGAAAGAGATTAATTATCTCAATAAAAATAAATTATTGATTATAAGGAATAGTAGATATTAATAAAAGAAGATGAAATTAAATGTGAACTTGCTGAACTAAATGAAGAAAAGAAAAATTTTGAAATTGATCTCTTAGTAAAAAAAAATAAAGAATTATCTATAATTGGATGTGATTATATTTTAATAAGAGAGTTGGAAAATTATAAATAGAAATTAATAGAAGAATAAGAGAAAGTAAATGAATTAATGTAAAGATCCATTCAATAAATGGAAGAGTAATAAGAGGGAAATTAGGATTTATATGAGTAAAAATTAATGCAAAATGAATTAAATGATTTAAAAAAGTAAATTGAATAAATGAAAGCTGAGTAATTAAAACTTTTGATTAGTTCTAATATATAAATTGAAGAGTAATTAAATTTTGAAGAAGAAAGATAATAATATTAATAGTAAATAAAATAATTGATGCATTTTAAAGAAAATTTAACACTAGAAGATATTAAGTTAGTAAGAGACATAATTTAAAGTGGAAAATTAATCTCTTATTTAGAAAAAGCTAAATAAATCCATGAACTTTAAAATTCAATTTAATCTTGATCTTATTATATATTTGATATAAAAATTTAATTTAATATTATGATTATTTAAATCTATCAAGAGCTTAAAGATTCTTTATTAATATTCAAGACAGTTATCCTAGAATTCTTAATCATTAAAGATTTATATAAATTTTCTATTATTTAAAAATATCTATTTATCATTTAATCTAAAATGATCAATATTTCTTAATTCTACTTAATTAAACATTTTATAATAAAAAAGCCATATTAATTAAAAAGAGATAAATATCAAAAATAAAAGTATATCAACCTTAAATTAATTTATTAATATTTTTATCATTTAATACTCATTTTTCAATATATACTAATCTAAATTACTAAATTCTAACTATTTTTTATTGTTTAGTTAATCACAAATATTCCTTTACATTAATTATTTAAATTTCAAATGAATCTAATGATGTCTATTATACTATTATATTAAATGATCTGTTTAATTTAATTTAAATTATTTTAAATGCTATTATCATAACTTCAATTAATTCTTTTATATGTTTAATTTTGACTTTGAAAAAACACAACTTATTAAAATTAATATTTCCAGATTTTTGATATTAATTCATATTCTTTCTTAGGGCAGTACTTCTCTAAGGAGATAAGTTAATTTAAATAAAATTTTGCAATAGATTTTATTAATTATATTGAAAAATTTTAGTATTTTGAAAATATTTTATAAAAAACGAACAAGTTATCTTTTGTATTTAAATTTAAAACTCTTTAAATAAATTAATATTTTTCAAATTTCTACTCTTTATTGTAAGATTTTGATAATAAAAATACTAAAAGAATTAATTAATTATAAAATAATGCCTGCTGAATGTGTAAAAGTTATAGTGAGAATGCGTCCATTTAATTAAAGAGAGAAGGAAAATGGAAGTAAACCATGTGTATTAGTAAATGAAGATACAAATAGTCTTGAATTGCGAAATGTAATTAGTTTATATATTTGATTAATCAGAGTCAAGATAATGAATTGAAGAATTTTACTTATGATTATGTGTTTGGTGCTGAAACTCCATAATTATAAATTTATTAGAAAACAGCTTTTAATTTAGTTGAATCTGTTGCTGATGGTTATAATGGAACAATATTTGCATATGGTTAAACAGGTAAATTCGAATTTAAGAGTATTAGGTTGTGGCAAAACTTTTACAATGATAGGAGATCCAACAAATGTAAGATCTTTTCTCAATTTTAGGAAAACATGAAAGGTATAATACCAAGAACCTTTGATTAAATAATAAGTCTAATCAACAATAATTCAGATTCAAATAAAAAGTTCCTTCTTAGATGTTCATATATTGAAATCTATAATGAAGAAATTCATGATTTGTTGAGCAAAGATGTAAAATAGAAATATGAATTAAAAGAGGGATAACAGGGAGTATTTATAAAAGATCTCAATATTGTTGTGGTAAGAACTACTTAAGAAATGGATAAATATATGTAAATAGGCACTTAGAATAGATCTGTTGGTGCAACAGCTATGAATAAAGAATCAAGTAGAAGTCATTGCATTTTCACTGTATATATTGAATGTTCTCTTACTGATTCAAAAGGAAATGAAAGAATAACAGCAGGAAAATTGAATTTAGTTGATTTGGCAGGAAGTGAAAGATAATCTAAAACATAAGCAACAGGAGATCGATTAAAAGAGGCTACTAAAATTAATTTGTCATTATCTGCATTAGGAAATGTAATTTCAGCATTAGTCGATGGAAAAACTTCACACATTCCTTATAGAGATTCAAAGTTGACTAGATTATTGTAAGATTCTTTAGGAGGTAATACAAAGACAATTATGATTGCTGCAATCAGTCCATCTGATTTTAATTATGATGAGACTATGTCTAGTTTGAGGTATGCTTCAAGAGCAAAGATGATTAAGAATTAACCTAAAGTTAATGAAGATCCAAAAGATGCTTTATTAAAAGAGTAAGCTGAAGAAATTAAAAAACTTAAAGAATTATTATCAAGATAAGCAGCTGGATAACCTATTTCTATAGAATCTTTAATAGCTAAACCAGAAAACAATAGCAATCCCGAGATTTCTAGATTAAAGGAAGAAAATGATAGATTATTGAGAGAAAAGTAAGGACTACCATCTGCAGAACACTCAGAGGAAAAATTAAAGGAGTTGAATCAGTTTAAAGAAAAAAACAATTAACTACAATAAGAAAAAGAAAAATTTGAACAAGAAATTAAAGAAAAAGAATTGAAGGTTGAATAAGAAAGATAAGTTAGATAGAGATTAGAATAATTACTTAAGGAGAAAGAATAAATGATGGTTCAAGGTGGAAAGGGAAGTGAAGATGATAAAAAGAAATACAAAAAATTAAGATAAACTGTTGATTAATAAAAGAAAGAACACGAAGCTTTGATATAATAATAAGAACAACAATAATAAGAAATGCTAGAAATTGAAACTAAATATTAAAATGTATAAGAGGAAGTTGAGAAACTGAGGAAATTAATTAAATATTTAAGAAAGAAACTAGAAGAAGCTACAATTGAATAAAAAGATTTAAAATTAGAAGTTGAAAATGAAAAAGAAGATATGTTAGAAACTATAAGAAATCAGTAAAAGGAGATTAAACTATATATAAGTTTAGTCAAGATGATGTTTAATTAAAAAGAATTGGAGACTCTATAAGCTGCAAGTGAATGGGATGAAGATGCTCAAGAATATAAAATTCCTCCATTCAATTTTAAAGCAAAAAAAGTCAACTTTCCTGCACTTCCTTATAAACAAGGTATTTTTATAATAAAATTAAGCCATGGATTTAATTGAGTTAGAGAAGTCAGAAAGAGTACTTGAAGTTAATTCTCGATAATAATTCTTTGAATATGAATAAGATAATAGATTAAGACTTGTTTCTCCTAAGATACCTAGAAAAGGTAATTATGTAGAATAATAAATAGAATCTTAACAAAAACAAAATGGAATTAGTTAACCTTAATTGGATAAAGGATATTTAGTGGCAGAGAAAATAAAATAGAATTACTAATTGCTCGAATAACAAGAAGGAAAATAACGTTATTAGAGTGATTAAGTAAACTAACAATTTATTGAGAAAAAATTAAATCAAAAAATTATTCTTAGTCCTATTGATAATAGGGATAATTCTGTCTAAAGTTAACATAGTTAATATAATTATAATGGGTATTCGAATAATAGCAATTTATCCCAAGCCACTCCAAATAAAAACAATAAAAGTAAATTGTTTTGATTTAAATAGATATTAATTTGTAACCACTTGAATAAAAGGCTTTATTAATTTAGAATGATGATTTGCATAAAAAAAGATAACACTAAAAAGTGTAATAAATTTGAATATTATTGACTTTTTTTAATTTTAATGTTCATATGTTTTACTATACTATTGTTTCTTATTGATACTTTTAAACATACTCAATCTATTAGTTATTACGATTATTGAATCTTTTCTTTTTATCATATTTATATTTTCTATTTTATTACATTTCAAATTTATCCTCTAAATTACCAGGTTGTTAAGTCTCTTTCTTATTGAATTTTTGATCTGTTTAATCTTAATATTTATTTTGATATTATTAATATGGATATTGTTAATATTATTCTTATTGATAGAATCCACTATTAGATTACCAATATTAAGGTTATTGATAATATCCTTAAAATAAATACATGAATAATACCATAATTATAATATCCATATTGAGGTTTACGTTGTTATCTTCTCTCATAGGATGCAGCAGAAAATGAATAAGGAATTGTTTCAAATACTGCTCTTAATTCTTCAAATTTCTTTTCAAAATTTGGATTGGAATCTCTTTATTATCTACTTTGATTCTAAATACTTATAATACTTACTTCTAATTTATCTAATTAAGAGAAATCTTCAAATAAACTTTTTTTGGATTCCTCTTTCTTAAAAATTTCTACCATTTTAATTCCGTTTTCTAAAGTTAACTCAGTACAATCAATCAAATCATAAACTGATTTAATTGTTTCATCACTTCCTTCAAATTTTTGGATTTATTTGATATTCTCAAATAATTTAAAAGGAAGATCCTTTACATATAACTACATTAAGCAAAGGTGCTTACCCATTTTATTTAGAATAAGCCAAACCATTTGTTCTCAATTAACCAATATTTAAAATGCGATTTAGGATCAAATCCTGATGTCAATTTGGCCATCCCACTAAAACAAAGACTGTTTATTTCAGTAAAAAAGAGATAAACATCTCCTTATGAAAATGCTTCATTCAAACGTTCATTCTTTCGAGAAGAGCTGATTCATAAAATTGAAAACTACCTGGTCCATATGCCATATTTCATGGCTCTATGTACATTATCTTCGCCTTAAGTACGAATGATGAAATATTTGCTTTTTTCCTAATTCTTAAATTCATGATCAAAATTTATATGTTCTAATGGTGGAAAGGTCTTCCTTATCATATCCAAATTATCATATGAAGGGAGTGCCTAAAATTAAGGCTGATTCATAAATAAATAAATAAAAGATTTAAAATAAAATAATTTATGAGACATTAAATTTTTATCAATTCTTTTCTCAAAAAATTATAAACCCTTATATAAATCCATAAATTCTCTTTCAAGTTAGATACATAAATTATTTTTATACAAATATATTTATAATTAATTTTGACAAAATAATTGCCATTAAATAAATTTTATTCTCTTATTTCTAAATTATCATATGAACTAGTCTCTCAAAATTCAAAATAACCCATTTGATAAAATCTAAAACTAATAACCATTAAAAGTTCTCACTTAAAATAGAAAAAAATTATGAATCTGATACTATGAAATATTTAATAAAAATAATATAATATGAGAAATCAAAGAAAATCATAAGTAACTTAAAATAGAGAATTTTTTAGAGTCCTTTTAGAACTAATTAATCTATTATGAGGGATAGTCCAAATACTTAATTAGATGAATCAAGCATTTCAACTAATAGAATTCCATAAAATAGAGAATCAATCAGAGCAAGAATGAAGATTAATTAATCTCATAATAATGCTCTAGCTTAAGGTGGATAAATTAGAAAATAAATTGCAAATGAAAGAACATCAGCTAAAGGTGGAAATCCTAATGAATTTAATCCAAAGAAATTTGTAACTAAAGATCTCAAAGTAATGTAGCTATCTATCACAGGAATCTGATATTATAGATATCAAACAAGTTTTTGATTATTATGATTCTGAATAAGCTGGCATATTATCACCTAATGATTTAGAGTAATTGCTATCAAGTTTTGGATATCATCCAACTAAAGAGACTCTTTATGGTATTAAGGTTCTATCATTACCTTTTTAGAAATTTTTTCAGAATTAGATGAAGATGAATTAGGAGGAATTACTTTTGAATATTTTCTTAGTATTTTGAATCAAGATAAATCTAAATCAGAAAAAAAGGATACAATAAGGAGGATATATAGGAAATATGATAAAAATAATAAAGGTTTTATAACTCTTCAAGATTTAAGATAAGTAGTATATAAAGATTTGAAAGAGGAAATTGATGAAGAAGTCTTAGCAGAAGTATATTATCTAATAAAAGAAGATCTTTAAAAAAACTGATTCTAATTAAGATGGTAAGATGACATTTGAAGATTTCTATAATGTGATGACCAAAAAGGTGTATTATTGATATTATTATACAGTGCATATTTAATTATAATGTCTTGTTTTATAAATTTAACGCAAAGAGCCAAAAGAACTCTCTCAATCGGTATGTTAATCATTTATAAATCAGATTTTTAATTTTAAGGGGCTTTACCAAAAATATAAATGTCTAGATCAAGAGCATTAACTTTCAACAAAAACCATATTTCCAAAAACTCATTTACTATCTCTCCTAAAATGAATAATATATCACCAAAAGTGAATTCGAGACCTGTCATGAATGATTTCCATTTCTTTAAATTGTAAAACTGCTAGAAAACATCACCATTATAAGAATTACAATTTTTGAAAAAAAGTACCAATAAGAAAACAATTAAAAAAAAGCCATCTCTTGATTTCAGTGTCTCTGGATTTGAAACAACAGATATAGAGAGGGAAGATATCTTTCTATAATCATATGTTAGAAAATAATGATTTGTATACTAAATATTTAGTTTTTTATTTAAATAGTTTAACAGGACGAAGTTCTCTCTATATCTTTAAATCTATATTAATCTAAATAATTATATCTAATTTTTAGTATCATGATGTAATTTCATAGTAAACGATAAGACTTATATAACCTTTAGATGACGATATTAGATTTCAATTAATATTTTAATAATATTCTATATCTTAAGAATATTCAACAACAAAATTGAGATGTGTATTAAGAATAAAAATATGAGACAACTTTCTAGACTCTGTAAAGGAATCATAGACTTTTAGATTATTTATGAAAATCATTTTAAGAACTTCATTTAAAAATATTAATTTTATCAAGAAACCAATATAATTGAATAAATCTCTTATATTTATTATTTTACAGAACTATTTAGGAAAATGTAAATATTTCCTTAAAGAAAGTGCTTTCATCATAATTAAATGATTTTTGATTGATATCATTTTAAGAATAAGAATAACCTAAGATTTAAATATATTATGAAATATATAAAAAAATTGGAAAATATTTTTAATAATTGTACTGAAAATGTAATCAAATATTATCAATAAGATCAGCCAATACATATCGTTTTGGTTTAAATTAAAATTTCTCTTCTATTACTTTAATATGTACTTATGTATTAAAAGAGACTCTTTTAGGAGAGAGTTTCTAAATAAAATCTGGACTCACTTAGACAAATGAATTTTTGATTGGTTTTAAGCTTGAAAATTTAATTCTTTTAGTAAGAATTGATTTTTCTTCTTCATTTTCATGAATTTCATTTAGATCATTATTAGAATGATCTTTACTTTTAGAATTAATGGATTTTAATATTCCTTTTGGTTAACTTTTATCTAAATTATTCAATTTAAATTCTTTAAATCTAAAATTATGATCAGAATCTCGATCAGTGTTACTTATTAAAGAAATTTTTTTTTCATTTAAGATAGAATGATAATTAGATCTTTTAGTTGAAGTTTCATTATTAATTTCATTGAAACTATGTTTTATTTAAAACTACTTTTCTTATATTCTGGTAGTTAATTAAGGTATATTAGTTAAAGACTTGAAATTAGTATTTAGATGTATTTCTGGTTTAACAACTCTTCTAGATGAAGGTCGAAGTGATTTTGATATATTTTAAGTACTCTACTAGTTTCTGTTTTACTACATAAAATATTTATAATCAGATTTCAAAAATTGAACATTAAATTTAATAAATAAGTTGTAATTTGACAAATATAAAAAATAAATTTAAGCAAGATTCAACTGTCTAATTCTTTTTATAGTTCCTAAGTAAATAATAAAAATAATTTTAATACTTATAATTATTATTCCAATTATTAGATTTCTTCGAGCATCAATTATTCATTTTTTTGAGCTTGTTTCTTTAAATTAATATTCTATATTAAATATTAAAATGTACATCTTCTTTTAAATAATCTACATATTCAAAAGCTATCTTGAATTCTTTTTATGATGTTAAATTTTCTTGAATATCAAATCGTTGTATTTCTATTTATTTTTATTCATTTTTATGAGAAGTATTAAAATTAGATTCTTCTGATAAAAATGTTTTTTTGACTTAATTCATTGTAATAAGTAATTCATTATTAAGAATTTCTAATTATTCAATATCATTCATAATTACTTCCTATTATTTAATATTATTATAAATAAACCTTTTCATTTCTTAAAACTTTCAATCTGATTTCAAAATCATGATACATAGAAATAGGAAAAGTTACATTAATTTACCATTATCTAAATTTATTTCTAAGTATTTCTTATTCATTATGATAATTTCTTCGAAATATCTATTCTATACGATAAATTATCTCAAGTTTCTATGATTTTGAATTTTTTGCTTTTATTTTTTAACTTAGTCTAGCTGCTATAACACTCTTGAATAAAAATCACATTTTACTAAATTTTTAACTGTCCCATCTTATACTTCTGTGTCTTAAACCTATTTCAATCCTTTTATTTAATAAAATATTTTTTAGAGTTATTTATTTACTAGATATTTCATAATTTCACATATGCCTCTATGAGATTTTTAATCTATTTGTTTTAACTATCTTTATAACACTTTTTAATGCTCTAATTTAGAGTGCACAGATTATCTAGCTAATTCAATGTCAAATTATTGTAATTACTCTTTAGGTACTGTATGATCAGCTTGTTAATCTATTATTCTAATGGATTATATGAACAAAGTTCTCAATGCATTTAATTTACTATCTTATGTAATTTAATGATGTTACTGATGGTATTAGTGAAGATTAATATAAAATAATGCTGATTAGAATTAAAATATTAATAATGCTTTAACTTTTAGAATGCAATTATTTTTTCTAAATTTTTAGGCTTCTTTAAATATTAATAAGTGCCTTATTCGGAATCAAATAAACTTAATCTCAATATCTATAAACCTAAATTAGTTATTAATTTATTTATAATTTATTTTCTATGTGAAGTTTTCAATTTATTGAAACTCCATGCTTTTAAAGATTCTTGTTTAGTAAGTATTTTATTTAGAGTAAATTTATAAAAACCTATCATATTCAATTTCTATTATTTTAATAGTTTATTGAATTTAGATTCAAAGGTTAATTACATCCATTTCCTGAAGATTTAATGAGTAATTGGTTCTTAATTTTATGATATTTAATTTCTTAATTCTTTTTTCAAATGTGATACTACATCAACCTTTGCTAGACGAAAAAAACCTAAACATTTTAATCGCTAATTGTATAATGATATTGCATGCTAAAATCTTAATAGTCCTTCCTAAATAACTCTTTATTATGCTTTAATCTCTTCTTACTATTTATTTTGAACATAAATGCTATCTTAAAAAATTAAATACACCTTAAATATTTAAACATAGTAGCTGCTTAATTTTTAATTGCATTATTGACTATATGTATTAATCTCTTAAAGCGATCATTACAAATCCTGAGATCACGATAATGCTAAATTTAAAAATATCCACATACTGAATTGTAGCTTCTGTTATTATAAGCTGAATAAGGGCTCTTTTTTATTCGCCCATATGATCTTGTTTCTTAGGGCTCCTATCTTTAAGCAAATCCTAAACCTTTAACAAAGTATTAATTTTACATAAATTTTATTTTTTTAAAAGAAAAGTTGTTAATAAATAAAATTATATTCATTATCAATATTATCTTAAATATGCAAATTTGGAATCATATTTATTATCTTAATAAAATAAAAAATCTAATTTTTATTAATTACATATTATTTATATGGACAATTATAAATTAACTTAGATTTAGAGGATTTATATATACTTATATGACAAAATAAAATTAAAAATAATAATAAATTATTTTTTTTATTTCTACTACAAAATATAATATAGAATAGAACATATAATTAACTAAATATATAAATTAATTCAATTAAATCCTTGATTTAAATTCAATTATAATTAATAAAATCTGAAAATATTATATATACTATTAATTGTTTTAACATTTTAAATATATTTATAAATTATTTTAACTCAGAGTATGCAATTAGAAAACGTTACAGATTTGTAATTATAAATTTTTGTTTGGTTTTTTGAAAGGAAGAAATTTGTTAGATTTTATACTTATTTTGATGCTTCCTATTCATCTTTATAATCTATATTCAAATCTCGATCATTTATTATGGTTTTAATGGTTTACCATGAAAATCTTATATACTTTGGAAATACAAAAAATCGTATATTTGTATTTTCCAAATATTTTTTGGTTTTAGGATCTCCTGGATATCCTGATCCAATAGAATCATTAGGCAATATTTCTTATTATATTTATGTTATTTTATAATCTCTTGTAACTTTAGCACAAATTGAGGCTGCACTTACATTTGCATATTTTGAGTCTGCCTTCTCTTCTACAACAATATTTGCTACTTTTCCCAATTCTTGCAGTTTTCCTTATAAAAAATTACGATATGTTTATTTTGGTCCAACAGTGTCAACATAAATTTCTATTTTTATATATGATAAATTACCTGTTATTTTATATCCTTTTATAATTGCATTTTAAATAAGGTCTGCAGCAGTATTATGAGATATATCATTTAAATTAATTATTAGGTGGGCTAATTAATTTTTTGATAAATATTCCGCGGTTAATTCTCGTGTTTCAAATGTTAACACTTTCCCCTTTAATTAAGTCAACACATCAAATAGTTTGTCACGTGTTGCCTCATTAATTTACTTAGAGTCTGCAAATTTACAAGTTTCTGAAATCAATTAATGATATTTAGTGGGCCAATAACATGCAGCATACAACATTGGTCCAATAACAGGTCCTCTACCAGCTTCATCAATTCCTAGTTACCAATCAAAATTTTATTTTAATTCTTCGAAGGATTCTGTAACATTAGATAAAACTTATTTCACTATTTCCTCAGTATCAATTTATTGTTTTTTCATATTTAATTATTTATCAATACAAATTAAAATTAAAGAGAAATATATTAAATATTGTATATTTCAAGAATAGAATATAAATGCTATTGCAAAAAGATATATATATAGCTTTATTTCATATCTAAATATTAAAAACTCATATTAAATTAAGATGGTTATCTACTTTTAATTTTAATCATAATATTTCAGATAAGTATTAAATTTTATTTATTGTCAAAAACTTTAAAATATTATGTCATACAAAATATATTCTCTGTAAAATATATCTTTAATTTATAATAGAAAGATGAAGTAATTGATATTTATACAGTATGATAAAATAATAATAAAATCAGTTCTTAATATTTATTATATCATTTTATTTTGTATATAGAAAATATACTGAAATTATTTAATATTTTATATGATATATATTTGTTAAAAAGATAATATTTGGTGTTAAATAGTAGATTATTCTATAGATGTGATTTGTAAATTTGAAATATAATGAATTAATAGAAGAATTTATAAGCATTTCTTGGAAATAGAAAAAAATAAATAATAATTCCTTTATAAAGTTAAATATATTGTTATCTTATAATAAGAACTATCTAAAGAGGACATTTTATTTTCCATCATATTTAATTAGTGAAATAATTAATTATAAACCCATATTTGGGTATAATGATTTAATTTTAATATAAATTACTATTGGTATGAATTAAAAGGAGTATGTTTTTTTAGAAAGAAACAATGAATACGCAGAAAATGAATACTTTGTGGGTCAGAAAGAATCGAGATTTCACTCTAATGATTAATAAATAAATATTTAAGTAGAATCGTAATTAAGTACTCTTAGTTATATTTTTGATTGGATAACTAATGTAAGAGTTTGATTTTATAAAATTAGGATCAATTATAAGAGTTAAGATCCCAAATACTTCATTAAATAAAGTTATTAGATCAGAATGTAAAAACTAAATATATTACTACTGCATTATCATATATTTTGATAAAAAATACCAGTGGCATCAATGAGACAGAATGTATATAGCAATTACTTGTAATATTTTAGTTTAATATTTATTAGAATAAGTTTAATGTTAAATCAAGGAAATTATTGAAGTATTTAAGAATGATCAAAGATGATGGTTAAAGAGATATGAATAAGTTATTATAACAGATATAATACTATTAAGAGAAAGTGAGAAAGTATTTTTTTGGATAAGGATAATCATTATTACTTAAATTGAAGAAACCAAATTAAACATATACTTAATTGATAGAAGAAATTCTTGAGACAAATAAATAAGTGATGATTAGAATATTCTCTTTACAATTAGTGAAATAATTTTGTGTAAGTAAAAGACCAAGTCGATTAGTGATAAACTTAGGTTATTTTGCATTCTAAATTTAATCAATATATATTTTACCTGGAGAATATGCTAGAATATTTAGAATATCAATTAATTCCTTGCGTCATTTTTCAAAAGGATTAATTAACATTTTATATCAATTTGTATTAAGGATAACTGGTTAAGGAATTGAGACATAATTTAAGTCTTGTGAAAGAAGTTCATAAATTTCATAAACCATTATGAATGAAGGAGAATTTAAAAAATCACCTGAAGATACAAGTGTATCAGAACCAAATATTGAAATTGAAGGATTTAAATTACTCATTATTAGAAAACTAATTAATGAATTCAGCATATATTAATTCTTATTTGTTGATACTGAAGAAGAAGATGAATTATTTAATGAATGTTAAGAAATTTTGAATTTTTCTACCAATGATAAAGTGTGATCTTATTATTTTTGTATATAATGATAGCTCCTATATATTCAAATATTATTATTAATTTAAATAGATCAATCTTAAGATTTAAGAGAATTAATCCTACTCAATACTTATTTCATCTTTTAGTATTTTCTATTATAAAATAGAAATTTACCAAAAAAATAATTATATTAATAAGGATGAATGAAAATATAAATAAATAATATAACTTGGTTATTTATGACTTTTAAGAAGGTATAAATATATTATGTTTATCATTAATTTTAAGAAACTTATACTATTGAAAAATGTAATTAAGTGATTCTTTGTATATTGACTCTTTATCAAAATAATAGTTAGGTTATTTATTTATTTAAATTTGAGGGGTCATTGAAAAAGAATGAGCTGAATTTTACAAGAAATTGAGTAGTTGACTTTGATTATTATTTTGGATACTAATTTATGAAATTAATCAACATTTCAAATAATCCTCTAAACTTTCCTATGCATACTAACCTATTTTTGCAATTTCAAATACTTTCTAAAAGAATTATTTACATTTAGTATATCTTTCTCTATAAATATATAAATGAATACAATATATTACACTTTTAAAAAGCAATCAATCATTGATAATGCATTATCTTTACAAAATTCAGGTTCTACATACTTTCCTAGTTGAGTAGATCTGCATAAGTTAAAACTCTTTCTTTATTCTTTACAAATATGATTTCCTTTTATTGCATAAATCATAAGCTACAAGCTATATGTAAATAAAAATCGATATTCAACCTTTCATCATTTGTATAAGTATACAAATCTTTTGGAATAGCTTAAGAGGCCATCTATTAAAGGTTATTTAATTAATCTAAAATAATTAAAAAGCTATAATTAATTTCTTATGTATATTATGTTTTAAATTAATTTTTTTTGTATTGTTATTCAGACAAAAAATAAAATTTATAATACAATAGTACTCTAAATAATTTATAATCTAATTTTTCCCAGAAAAAGATATTAAAATTATATATTATGATGATTTTTATCATAATTTATCGTTATTATAAGAGTATTACTTTTTTTAATTATCATGAATATATTAATAAATTTATATCATGACTAGTGAAATAAATCCTCAAAATAAATATTTTATACCTATTTAAAATATTAAATTAATCAAGTTCACTTAAATTTTTATTTTATCGTTTGAAGATATAAAAATATTCTATAATGAATATCTATAATTATATATACTTTCTCTTTAAAAATCAGTTTGAACATAATAAATACAATTAAGAGATGTCAGTGTAATAGAAAAATAGAATAATAGTATATTAGAATTTTATATGAAAATTAAATATCCTCATGTGTCCAAAGAATTATATGATTTTTTTCAATTTCATATTTCTTAACCGAAATTGATTAATTTATGTTCTCTTTAATTATTTTCAATTGTTTTTTAAATGAGAGAATGAATGAAATCAAAACTTATGATATTTCGTTTGATAAAATTTGAATTAATGAATTTCAATATGATTTTATTAAAATTTACATAATGAAAAAATATAGATTTTTTTTATGGAAAGATTATTAAACTATAGTTGAATAAATTTCGAATCAATATACAATTAGTTATGATAATTAATTTCGAATATATAATCAAAAATCATTGTAAAGTAGTATCATTAATTAAAATAATAAAATATGTGTTTACCTTATGGATGTCTCAAATGCTTCGTTTAATTAGAAGGATGGATGACCTTTGTGATTGGTATTTTAGCCATTGTGGCTGCTATTATAATTACAGTAATATAAAAGGCTTTTGATAGTGCACTTAAGGATCTTGGGATAGTATGATTGATTTATATAATTTAGACAGATATAGATACTAGTGTGATTGTTGTACCATTTTGGATATTTGCATCAATTGTTATATTCTTTGCAATTAGTGGTTTATGTGGAGCCAAACATAGAAGTAAATGCTTATTAGCAATATTTAATTTGGGAAATATTTGTTTGTTTTTGGCTTTCTTCTCTCTTTCTTTGGTAGCCTATGTTTTTGGAAATCTATTTTAAGATAAAGAATGCCTAAAAGAATAAAGTGTATAATAAATTGAGGATTTATACAGTATGGCTGAAAAAACTCTTTGTAAGGAATCATGTTAGTGTTATTACTCATAAGAAATGAATAAATAGGTTGAATCAGCTGTCAAAAATTACACACCTACTGATAAAACAAAAGTATATATAATAAAATAATCTCATTTTAGCCAACTTAAGTATAAGAATGCCCTGGATTTAATCAAGAATATAAGTATTCAGCATCAGCTCTCTCATGGATGGAAGAAAAATTGGAATGTTCTGGGTGGTGTACAGGATATCCTGTTCAATAATTTAATAATGTAAATTCCAAAGTTAAAGACTTTAAGTATGCTTTTGATTCTTATATTTTATAGTAATCCTTGTTACAAAGCAATGCTTACTTACTTTGAAAGTGCATTTAATACAACAGGTTCTATTCTGATCTCTATAGCATCAGTGTTTGGATTGATGGTCATAATGACTTGTTGTCTTTGCTGTCATCCAAATAATAGCAATAAAGGATCAGATTATTATACAAGATTAGCATACACAGCAGATTGATACATTTTATTCATTTTAAGCATATTAATTATATTAATTTGTAAATGTAAATTGTTATTTGTATTTTTAATCAATTAGATGATTAGATTAATAGATATTCTCTATAAGAATTTACCTATTTTATTTATAAGACACTCCTTGTTAAAATGATATTAATACTATAAAACATTAATAATTTTAATTAAATTTAATAGAAATATATAATTAATAATTTTTATCAACAACTTAATCAATAAATATTATTAATTAAAAACAAATAAAATTTTGTTTATCTTTATTTTAGATAATAATTTATGGAGTATATCAATTTATAATATAACATAAAACAATATTTATTGTTAGTGTTAAATATTAGTAATTTCATAATTAGAATTCTATTAATTTTTAATATAACTCAAAAATAACATCTAATTTCTAAATTTAGTGAAACTATTAACCCCTAATCTAGAAGGTAAATTCAACATTTTTTGTAAAATCGTTGAATAATATCCTTTATAACAATATACAAATAATGAAATTATTATCATAGAAATCAAAATAATTCTGGTTTAAAACCATCATTTTCATTAATAATTTGATTAACATCATCCACAAACATTGAAGCATCTCCTTAATCTAAGAAATCAGCAACAACAAAATTAGGCATCTTTCTACAATGATGATAATATTATAAAAATCGTTTTTTTACATGTTAATAGAAATTATATTTAGTTCTATATTAGTAATCAGGTCTAAATAATATAGAGAAATATTTACTTAAAAGAATTTTCAGGATTTAAATGAATTTCTAAAAAAGGTGACCAAATAGATCCATCATTCTTATTTGTTACTCCTCTCTATACCTTTCCAGTTTTAACATCCTCTAAAGGATCAGTTTCCCAATCTACTTGAGCTCCTATTCTATATGAATAATATGTATAATTTTATAAGTCTTCTACAACTTATTCCCTTGGCTCAATTGTAATTAATATATTCTTTTGATTTTCCCTACACCAACCTAAAGTAGGTGGATCATTTTCTTAAAATGTTATAGCTCTTTCTTCTCCTTTAAGTTCGACTAATAAACTATGCAACATTTTAGTAATTAGGCTTCGATCCCATCCAAAAGTCCCATTATTTTTCGTATTACATAATAATTTACTCTCAAGTTTAACAATCATTATTTCATTAGGATATTTGAATGCTAAATCAAATAATTCTTTAAGACGATCTATGGCTTTTTCTGGATTTTTCAAAGCTCTTTATACAAGACTAAGTTTGCAATTAGAACCCCCATCTCCCTCATGTGCAACCACAATCTAATTAATTAAATAAAAATACTTAAGGTATTCCATCTTATATATGCCAATGTAATGGAATTTTGAAATGCCTAGCACCATAAGTTTCGAACTATTCTGTTATTGTTACATTTTGTTAAGCATATACCCATCCATAACATTTTGACATAGGGGAATTGTGAGCACCAAGATAGACAATTTAATTTAATTTTAAGCTAGGCTTGAGATGACCATTTCCACCTGGTAAATTGGCTTACATTAATATAATAATAAATAATTTTATTTATGTTTATCATTTTTTTTTTTTCTTGGAAACTGAAGCAGGAGATCTTCCTGTATTTTAACTTTATGGTCTTAAATTAGATGTACTAGATGAGGTTTATTTTTTCTTTTTCTTTTTGGAAGGTGGTGCAGTAGCTTTTGGTGTTTATGCAATAATCTGAAGTTATTCATCAAAATGTTTCTTGAGTTTTTCTATAGCCTCATTAGATTAGATAGTGAGCTTTTCTTAGAATTGCTTTTGTTCTTACAATAATCTATCTTCTACAGATTCTTAGAGTTCTTGTTCCAATTATTCAATTGCTGATTATGTTAGTTATTTTTATTCTTTTAATTCAGATTCTAGTTGTTTTTCTTTTTCTTTCATTTCTTCAATATCTAAGAGTAATTCACTTATAATTTTTTTCTAATTTATAAATTCTTATCAATTACACTTTCTTAATTTTCAATTTTTAATGCTTTGATTACTTCTTATGATTCTAAGAGATTATTTTTATATTTGATAGCTTTGATTCGATATTTAGATTAAGTATTGGCATCTTCTTCATCTGATGTTTACTAATAATCTAACAATGCTTTTGCATGTTTTTCTAGATATATTCCGTTATCCTTAAAAGGCTTTTTTCTCATTAATAATTTTATTAAAAATAGTTAAATATACTTTACTAAATACTGATACTTAATTAAAAAATGATGATCATATATATAGATATCTTTAATTCATAAATTATAATGTATTTCATTTTATCACATGGTTACATCAAAATATTATTTAGCTCTTTTGTTATTCACAACACAATATGTAATTAAGGTAAGATTTTTACATTAATTAGAATTAATATCAAAGTAGAAATATTAAACTTAGTATAAAACATTGGTGGATCTATAATAATTTAATATTATTACATTATTATCAGTAATTACTTCTATAAATTGATACTTTAGGTTTATGAAGGTATTATTTTAATATTTATCAAACCAAACAAACTTATTGTATACCATTTTTTTATCTCTAACATAAGTGTATTAATGTATAACTCAACATTAATCTACTTGATATTTAATAAAAATATTTTTCAAATTATTTATCTTCTTTTTTCCAATAATGAATCATCTTGATAACTAAAAAATGGATTATTCATCATTTAAGCTTGATTCCAAAATATTGAAATGAATAGACAATATAAAATACATAAGCTTATATGTATCAAAAAAGTGAGATCTCCAACCTTACGATTATCATATTCTAAATCATTAGCCACATCCTTTTGTTACTTAAACCATCATATTATATCTTTTTTTAAACTAATTAAAAGTTTATTTAGAATTATTTAAACTCCAATTAGATTCCAATTCTAATCCAAAATTCCTTTAAAAAATAAATTGACTTGAATAATTCAAGGATTTAGAAGAATCACTAAAGTATAATAGCCCTATTACTACTTGATCTTTCAAAAATATGATAAATGAGTATTGATTTCCTTCAATTAAGTTTTTAAATTAACTTTTATTTGCAGAGTTAAATAATTATTAATAACAAACAAAGTACAATAATAATAATGTATGGAGAATATTATTATTATGTATGGAACACAATCTAAATTGAGTAATGTTAAGAGTGAAGCTAAGAGTGACGTTATTAATAATATCATATTAAAAATATTAATTAATAAATTTGTTTTTTAAAAGATTTGTATTATTAATTAGAAACTAATAAAAGAAATAATAAAGATGAATATTTGTATTAAAAGGAATATTACATTAAGATTTACATATAAATAAATAAGATGAGAACCATAAATCTTAATAATTTATATGTTATTTGTTTATGATGTGGAAAAATGTGATACTCAAATTTATGTGGATCATTTTTATTGTTACTTCAACTATTCAAAAGTTTAAACTGGTATTAATATAAACTTTTGGTTTCCTATTTAAAATTAGTTATAACCCAATTTAACACTGTTTTTACAATCATCGCATTTACATAATTCTGAACATTTCACTCCTGCATTATAACATTCACAATATTTTTTTTAACAATTACTTTTACGACAATTACATTTAATCTAAGGAGAAGAATTCTTCTCAACCATTTATTCAAGTATTTTGTTTCTTTATTCAAGGTGTTTATCATCATTATGACAATTTTAACATGAACATTCACTTCCACAATATTCTCCAAAAGCCAAACAATCACAATACATTTTCAGACATTAACTTTTTTTACAAGTACATTATCTCTATTTCTATTGGAATGGTTTTTTAATTGTAGTTTCAGTTATAACTCTTTTTTGCTATCTTGTTGGAGTCTGGAACTAATCATCTTTAAATATAGTGTCACAATGATTTGGTTTCATATATTAAATTTATTTATCAAAATGTAACATACAGAATCCAAAAATAATTAAAGAGTTAACTATCATTATTCTAGATGTTTCTTAAAAAGAATTCTCATAAGAACATATATAACATAAATGATTTAATTTTATATAATAAATCAACCTTTGGATACAAAACTATTGTTTTTAATATAAAATCTCCATGGTTTATCTTTCCATTCTTCTGCATAATCAATATTGATTCTAGATGAAACACCAATCTCATATTATTTATCATTATCAATCAAATACATTCCACTTTTCTCATCACATAAATTTAATCCATTATGAGATTTATCAAGAAGTAAACAACCACCACATTTTCCAGGACCATTTGAAAGATCCTATAATTTTGTAGATTTTGTTTTCCTAATCTCTTTTATGATATCAAAACTTAATGGTTAAATTGCTCTAATCAATACAGCTTCTGGATCATCCTTTGTTGCTGATGTAATATTTAAACAATAATTATTTCCATATATTGAATAAACATATAAATGTCCACCATCTTACCAAAAATATTTTGTTCTGTCTGTTTTTTTATTGTTATAAGCATGACATGCCTTATCTTCAGGAGCTAATAATTAATCAATAATCATATAATATACCTTTATAAGCTTCTGTTTCTACAATTATTGCTCTGACTTCTCCTTATGGTAATTATCTTACTATTATTTTACCAATCAACTTCTATGCTAATTCAACTACATCAATTTTATAGAAATCTGATGTTAGCATTTTTTCAACCATTTAATATTCTTCAGCTGGATTTGCTTCATTCTTTTTTATTTTTTTTGCAATTGGTTTTTCTACTTATTCCAAATCGTCTTTCTGCTTAATTTCCTTTTATTTACCTTTTTTCATTTTTTAATTTACATAATATTAATTTATCATATATCACTCTAATATTAGTGTATCTTTTATTTTCATTTTAATTCCTTATTCCAAATTTAGAATTTAATTTATTAGTTAAAATACATATTTTATCATAATGTAAAATAGATTTTATCAACATTATACTAATAAATTGTTCAAATACTTCATTTATATCTATATTGTTAATTTTATATATTCAAATTATATAGCCCTAATATAATTAAGAATTATTGTAAATAAAACATTATCATTAGTTGACAATATATTCAAATATTGATGGTTACTTTATATTTATATATATGAATAAATTTTTACATAAAGATCTATGAGAAATTAAATAAATAATTTCATTTTTAATACCATGAGAATTAATCATAAAAGAATAATGTTATTATAATTAATATTGTTAATTTTTATATATGATAGACTAAGAACTAAAAGGAGAGGATTTAGATTTAAGAATTGCATGTAGATAACAATTAAATGATTGGTTTATAATAAATTCACATTATAGACTAATTAATCAAATGATACCTAAATCTTAATAGAATTATACAAAATTTCATATAGATAATTAGAAACATTACAAAATATTATTATGCTTTATTAAATACATTCTCTTGAGACGATATATAATAGAAAAAATAAAAAATCTTAGAAAATGAATTTACATAAAGAGTATTTTTGATTATTTGTATTATTCAGATTTTCGGTTTTAGAAATAAAATAGACTTATGATAAATGACAAGTAATTAAAGCATATAATAAATAGGTTATTTAAGTTAATTTTTATTGAAACTAAGAGATTCAAACAATTTATAATCAGCAATCGAATTATTAAGAGCTTTTAGTGCTATTCCAATCTGTATTTGATAGCTGAAATTTATTACAATGAATTCTCCAGACTTATCATAAATTACATACTTTCAATTGTAATTATTATAACTATTATAAGAGAAAATACAAGAGTCATCTAAAGTAGAAATTAAAATTAAATTAAATTATAAGCCAACAGAAACTGAAATGAGAGAATCTGGTCATTAATAAAAGTAAGTAGACTAAATAAATACTTTAGATGATTTGTTACAATGTATTCAAATAAGTTTTTTTTGTAAATTAATTATATGAAATCATATAAATATTGCCTAGAATATAAAAGATAATTGTTAAATACAAAATATATAGATAAAATATCATCTTAAAGTTTATAGTATTAAAAAGAAAGTTATATTATTAAAAATTTTAATGATACTAAATCATTTGATTATACATGGAATATTAGAATAGATGATGTAAATAGATCTACAATCAAAATTAGAGGATAAAAAAGAAAATGATGTGATAAAATAATTATATACAAATCAATTAATCTAAATGAGGGAATTAAATAATTATAGAAATTATTTGTAAAATTTGATGATTGTCATAAATTATATAAAACCACTATTTTCTATTTCACATAAATTTTTATAATAGTATAATTCAACAATATTCTTTATTTAAACTTTTTAAATTGATAGAGAAGATTAGATTATATGATTATAATTATAGGATTGATGACTTTAGTAATTTTTATTATTTATATTCATCCAAACTAAATTTATGATCTGCCACCTGGAGGATTTCTTACTTTAACTGATGTTTTAACATCCTATTATTATTATTAAATAGGAGGTTGATTGACTTGTTTTCTTCCTAATGGTTGAGGTACTTGCTATTAAGGAGTATAATCTCCCTTGAACTTTTAAATATGGTATGTACAAATGAGATCGATGAATTTCCTCCAGGTGCTTAATGTAATCTAACTGATGGCTTATCTAATCCATATCCTTAAATGTTATTCATTTTTCAAAAATTTAACTGCTATTTATATTATTAATATTCAATGATCAATAATTTTAGTATTTAATATGGGTTTTTAATAAATATCTTTTTAATAAAAATAGTTAATTTATATTCTCTTGTTCTTATTTTATAAATAGTAAAAAGCATATTAAAAGTTAAAAATTACATAAACTATTATAAATTTTCTTTAATAATATTTGAATGATAGCAATGCTCTGAATTGAAGAATAAAGATAATTATTTGAATGAGAAGTTAAGTTAGATGAAATTTAAATAAGACTATATAAGATGATGATACATAGTTAAGAAATTAATTAAAAATAAAAACTTCTGAAATTATAATACTGCTATTTTTAGATTGTATTAAATATCAAAAGAACTATATGATATCATTATATCAATATCAATTTTGGTTATATGTATAAAGTTATAATTGAATTATTATGATTAATATAATAAACTATTTAAATGTTCTTGAACAACAACTAAGTAATTTATTTTGTCTTAATTAGAATGTTTATATAAATAAAAATTTAAATTAAACAAGTTTAATAAGCATAAATTATCAATATATTGCAACTTTTATTTCTTTTTTAAATAAATAAAATTTTGATAATTTTGTAGTTAAAATTATTATATATTTGTTAATTAAAATGAATTTGAAAATAAGAGTAGGGTTTGAATAAATGTGTACTTTAATATTAAATAAAGTGGGTAATATATATTTGTAGAAATATTGAATATAATCAATTTAAATAATAGTTATACATTTGATTTTATAAAATAAATTATTATGAACCCAGAAGAATCAAATATTTTAGTAGCTATTCGTTGTAGACCTCTTAATTAGAAGGAAATTTCAAATGAAGACTTAGATATTGTACGTGTAGAGGATAATTTGATTGTATTAATGATTTGGATGACTAATTTAGATCATTTTAGACCCAATACAAATGGAATATGAAGCAGAGAATAAGAAAATGTTAGAAGTTTATCATAGAAGCAAAGAACAGCGATATGCCTTTGATAAAGTGTTTAGAGAGGAGAGTTCAGATGATGTATTTGATATTAATTGGTATAGTTTAGATCTTTGAATAAACATGCAAATAGCTTATTAAGCCTGTGATGAATGGTTATAATGCAACTGTATTTGCATATGGTCCTACAGGTACAGGAAAGACTTATACAATGTTGGGAAACTAAGAAACAATGGGAATAAGTGTACTTACAATAAGAGACATGTTTGAATTCATAAAACGTGATTTGGATAATGATTACATAGTGATGATAAGTTATGTAGAGATATACAATGAAGCCATTCGCGATCTACTAATTTAATAATCCTAATATTTGGAGTTACGAGATGATCCAATAAAGGGAGTGACAATAGCAGGAGTTACTGAGTATAAAGCAATAAGTGTTCAGTAGGTTATGAACTTATTGTTGTAAGGAAATAGAAGAAGGACAACTGAAGCCACGAATGCAAATCTTACTTCTTCTAGGTCTCATGCAGTATTTTAAATAAATGTGACTCAAAGAAGTAAAGTAAAAAATACTGAGATGGAATCAATGAATGGGAAGTTGAGTTTAATAGATTTAGCAGGTAGTGAAAGAGGAACTGTAACAGAGAATAGGGGACTTAGATTAAGGGAAGGTGCAAAAATAAATAGATCATTATTGGCATTAGCAAATTGTATAAATGCATTAGGAGATAAGAGTAAGAAAGGATTCTTTGTTCCTTATAGAGATAGTAAATTGACAAGGTTATTAAAGGATTCTTTGGGTGGTAATTGCAGAACAGTTATGATAGCAAATATATCACCAGCTTCATCTTAATTTGAAGAAACAATTAATACTTTGAAATATGCTAATAGAGCTAAAAATATAAAGACAAAATAATTACCTAATAAGAAATTAGTTGCTATGCATATAGCAGAATATAAGAATATAATTAGTGATTTGAGATCAGAAATAGAATCATTAAAATTAAGATTAAATGAGAAATAATTTGATGATAATGAAGATGAATCTATTACAATAAATAATTATATAAATAAAAATGGTAAACCAGAATCAGAAGAATTGAAATCAATATAAGAAGAAATATTTGAAAATTTTTAAGAAAGAATTTAATTAAGAAGAGCATTGATGGAAATAGAAGAATAGAATGCTATGAATTTTTTAGAAATTAAAAAAAGATAAAGTGAAATTTTATAATGGAAAAAATCTGGTGAAAAGAATATGCCAGAAGATATTAGATAAGGTTTAAAGAGTATTTAAACATTAAAAACAAGTACTGAAAAAAATATGATAAAAAAAGAATTAATGGGTTTATAATTAGTTGAAAATATTAATAATGCTAAAAAAATTAGAGAATCAATTCCAAAAAGAATTTAAAGTAAAGAAAAAAGAGATTATTTGGAATTAGAAATTAAAAATCATGTATTAGAATTATAAAATGTTGAATTAGAAATTAATCTATAAATATAAGAAAAAACTATTAATGATTTAAAAATGATTGTAGAAAATTAAAAGAAACTTATTAATGATACTTAAGATGATGAAAAATATTTTGAAGAAACTGATATTGAATATATTGATGATTTATTAGAAGATCCAGAATTTCAATAAGAATAAGATGATGATGATTTAGAAGATTTAGGTGAATTAGATTAATTTAAAGAATTTATTAAAAAAGAAGAATTAAAATAAAATTCACCTAATTAATTTAAATAAAGAGATAAAAGTGCACCAAGAAAATAATTTAATAAATAAGAATTATCTATTTAAGAAGATTATGATGAAATTAGTTAATCTTAATCAAAACCTAAAGTAAGAGATCAATCTCGTAATAAAAGAGATGGAGGTGGATCTGCTATTTAAAATAAAGTACTACCTCCAAAAGATAAATAATTATAATTTTAATAATAAATCAAACCTAATAATATTAAACCACCAAAAGATATATCAGTTCTTAATTTATAAGGGGTACACATTTTTAATCTAATTCTAGCGTAATCTATCAATTGGTAATTCATAATAAAGAGGAAATTCTAAAGCCAAAAAATGATTATTAATATTTTATAATATAAATGCTTATAAAATAAAAGTAGTAAATTATTATTTGTTTAATAATATATATAAAATTTTAAAAATATTATACTAAAAATAGAAAAAACATAAGATTTTTATTTAATATTGTTCATTTTAAAAACGATCATAAGGTAAAATTAATGATTAATCAAACGAGCCATAATCTTTTTATGAAATATATTTTAATTAATGATTTTTGTATTGATATTGTCTATAATTTCTATAATTGTATTAGCATCCACAACAGAAGAAACTATTACAAGAAACTACTGCTAACTTCCAGATGCTGTATTTGCAGATGGAGTAGATGCTGCTGACTTTGGTACCACTGGTTGGAATTATGCAAATGCAGAAAATTGGGAATGTATTATTTAATATGCTATTTTAGAAATTGTTGTGACTTGTGGTGGAAGTTATCAATCACCAATTGATATAGTGACGACTATTGCTAATTAAGAACCCATTTAACCATAAATACATTATAAAAATAAGGCTTCAGACGTTGCATATGAAGAAGCAAACAGTAATAATATAAAATTAACTTTAGAACCATATACCAAAGAATATGAAGGAGAATATTCAGAAATAGAAGTTACTGATGCTTCTGGATTAGTAGTCAGATATTATGCTAAATAATTCCATATACATACTCCATCAGAACATACTATTGATGGAAAATACTTTGATTTAGAAATCCATTTTGTTCATTAAGTTAGTGTTTTTTAATATATAATTAGGCTATTTAAGATGAGGAACAAGATTGTAACAAAGTAAAGAATAGTTTGACAGTTTTTGGTCTTATGTTTACAGAATCAGCATATGCCTCTGATTATGAAGTATTCAAGCCTTGGTTTGATTAAAATGTTACTGGAGAAGTTGAATCTTTTGATTTGAAGTAAGAATCTAGTTACTAATATATATAGTGATTTCTTTTAAAAAATGACTGATACTACCTATTATCATTATAATGGTAGTTTAACAACTTTGCCATGTTCTTAGATTGTTAATTGGATTGTATTCTATTAACCATTGCCAATCTCAACAAATCAATTGAATCAATTTAGATCCACATTTGCAGATTCAACAGTCTTTCCACTCAAGAGAAATAATCGTCCAATTTAACACTTGAATGGAAGGAAAA